CCCGCGGTGGGGTGAGCTCCCGTCTTTCGGTCCCAGCTCCTGCCCACCTAGCAGTTCGAAAGCACACTTAAAGTGCAAGTAGATAAATAGGGACCGCTTTATAGCGGGAAGGTAAACGGCGTTTCCGTGTGCTGCGCTGGTGCAGGCTCGCCAGAGCAGCGATGTCACACTGGCCACGTGACCCGGAAGTGTCTCCGGACGGCACCGGCTCCCGGCCTCTAGAGTGAGATGAGCGCACAACCCTAGAGTCTGACAAGACTGGCCCGTACGGGCAGGGGTACCTTTACCTAAAGATGAAGGAACTGGCTTTGAATGTGGCCTAAGAGAGGACAAAAAGGCAAGAAAGCTGGGGACCATTTTTCTGTGCCCTTTTAGACCGGTAGGAGTCAGAATCATATAACTGTAGAGTTGGAAGGGACACCAAGGGTCATCTAGTCCAACCCCCCTGCAATGCAGGAATCTCAACTAAAGCATTCATGACAGATGGCCATCCAAACCTCTGCTTTTATATATGTTGGAAGCTGTCCAGAGTGGCTGGGGCAACCCAGTCAGATGGGTGGGGTACAAATGATAAAATTAACAACAACAACTGTTATGTACTGAGTTGAATAGGATCCAAAATGCAGCAGTCTAATTGGTCCTAGAACAATAGGATCCAGAATGCAGCAGTCTGATTGGTCCACAGGAGCCACCCAATCACAATGAAGATGATGGAGATGAAGAGATCACCACCTCCCAAGGGAGTCCATTCCACTGTTGAGCAGCTCTTACTGTCAGAAAGTTCTTCCTGATGTTTAGTCGGAATATCCTTTCTTGTAACTTGAATCCATTCATTTTGAGTCCTGCCTTCTGGAGCAGGAGAAAACAAGCTTGCTCCATCCTCCATGAGGCAGCCCTTTAGATATTTGAAGATGGCTAGTATATCTCCTCTCCGTCTCCTCAGTTCCAGGCTAAACTTGCCCACTTCCTTCAACTGTTCCTCATAAGTTTCTATACTCTTGATCATCTCAGTTGCCCAGAGTCAGATTCATGCTTTTGCTCCCACAGTGGCATAAGGCACATGCCTAGGAGACAGACCAAAAAGGGCAGAACTACATGATCAATTGCATGTATGAAAACCCAGGGAGTTTCTTCTACAAAAGAAGGAAGCCTTGGCATAGGTCTTATTTAGAACAAAGAGACTCCCCCCCCCTCTCTGTGTGTGTCTTAGTCCTTTCCCCAAGCCACTTCCACCCTCTCCACCCCCACAGGAGTTTGGAAAAGGATTTACAGTGTTTAAGAATGCAGTAGAAGGAAATGCATTAGGCAGGGAGTTGTAAGAGAAAGGTTGTGGGCAGTTTTCTTGCACACATACAAAGAAACACACTCTGCTGCCTCATATAGAGTCACACCATTGGCCCATCCCAACATTGTCTACGCTAAGTTGGGGAAGGGACACCAGTGGCCTTCCTGACGATGTTGGACTATGTCTCCCATCATCCTTGACCATTGGCTGGGGCTGATGGGAGTTGGAGTCTGGAGAGCACTATCTTCCCCACCCATGGCCTAATGTATCTCAGTGCCGAAGCTTCTTTTTATACCAGCATTTTGCTGGTGAGTTGTGTTTTCTTTCTTTCTTTCTTTCTTTCTTTCTTTCTTTCTTTCTTTCTTTCTTTCTTTCTTTCTGATTTTAAATTTTATACATTTTGATAATTTTACAGTCATTTTAATATTTCAAAACTCGACTTCCTCCTCTTTCTGCAGTTTCTTAAATTTATTTTTTATATTTTCTGCATATTCCAAATTAACTTAATTAACTCATTTATTCATCTGCTTTAAATATAAGCACTTATAAAACTCTTATAATCCTGCCATTGTTCTTATCTGTTTACAGCTTATTTGTAAATATTCAATAAACCATTTCCATTCTTTTATAAAAAGTTTATCTTGATTTCTTATTTTGCCATTTCTGCATATTCCGTAAGTTTTTGTATCCATTCTTCTTTCGCTGGGACTTCTTCTTCTTTCCATTTTTGGGCAAGTAACATTCTTGCCACTTGCAACATTCTTGTTGCATATATGAATAAATTTCTATACAGTTTGGGTAGCTCTGTCCCTATAATTCCCAAAAGGAAAGCTTCTGGTTTTCTTTACAAATGTTGTTTTAAACATATTTTTCAGTTCATTATATATCATTTCCCAGTAAGCTTTAAGCTTACTACAAGACCACCACAAATGATAAAAATAACCTTATTTCTTTTTACATTTCCAACACTTATTTGATTTTGATTTCATACCATATTTAACGACTGTTTTTTCCTCAAGTGCCACAGTTGTGTTTGTGGCCAAGCACCATTTTGTGTTTGCTTCCTCTTCCTCACACGCCATACACACCTACCAACACCCACTGGCTCAGCGAAGAACATACCTAAAACTTGGAAGCAATGCACTATCTTGCTACTGACTTAATCTTGTGGACGCTTCAGTAATTGGTAATTAGATTTAGCTACATGCTGAGGGTAGTGATTTTCTAAATCCAGTGACCTTGGAATGGCTGCCTGCTGAAGAAAAGGTTAATCATCAGTTGGCATTTTGCAAATAATTCAGAACTCATTAGCTTGACCAAGGAAAGGCAATACTGTGACTAGCAAATAATGTCACTGATTTTGTCTCCTCTACCCTCAGGCTAGCAAGTGGTTGAAGGATGTCTAAATGGGAACTGAGCAGAGTGACATTTTATTGCTACCTGAGAGTGCTGTGTTTAGTTCAGTGGCTGGGAGCCAGCTTCTCCAAGTTACTTGTTTGCTGGAATTTGAGATACGCAGAAGGAGGCAGGAGGTGATTTCAGACATACATCATTTTATTTGTAAGCTGTCTTTCCATAGTTAAAACCATGCTAAAGGAAGCTTATCAACATGGGAAAAACCCCCACGTAATTACAAATATAACAAGAACAGTAAACAATAAATAAAACACATTGAGAGCTACACAACCAAATCAAACAATTTCCACGTTAAATCACAACAAGATCTAAAAATAAAGATACAAAAAATAATAATCTCAATAAGAACAACGCCCCCTAAACAATTGACCAACCCAAGAGTCTCTACAGCATCCTCAGCTTTTGTAGCTGGAGTCAGTCAGGGCTTCATCCTCCCAAGGCAGGGAGCAGGTCTTCAGGACTGGCAGCCAAGATCGTATCAGACTTGAGTCATATTCATAGTGGACCCATTGAAACAAATGTGATTAAGTTATTATTGACTAACTTGTTCTTTGATTTTAATGGGTTTACTCTGAGTTAGGCTGTATACACACTCCAGCTTACCCTGCACCAGTGCACTCCCGCTACATGATGTTGACCACAATCCGTGTCTGTTCTGTACCTGTCCTGTTGTTTCTTACGAAGTGCTCCGTTTTGATGCTTTAAATGATAACATATTGGAGGTCCCAGGCCTCAAGGAGATTAGACTGGCCTCGACCAGGACCAAGGCCTTTTTGGCTATGGCCCTGGCCTGGTGGAACGTTCTGTCACAAGAGACCAGGGCCCTGCAGGATCTGACATCTTTCTGCAGGGCCTGCAAGACAGAGCTGTTCCAACAGGCCTTCGGCAGGGGTCCAGTCTGACTCCCCCTCTCTCCTTATAAGAACTTGCATGAAAGTGGCCTCCCAACTTTGCTCACAGGCTCATATAAGATCAGTATAAACTGTTAGGCCTGGTGAGCATTTAAGGTCCCCATCCCTAATTTGCGGGTTGCCATCTGATTGGATTTTACTTTGAGTCTGATTTGATTTTAGGATGTATTTTAATTGATTGCTTGAATTTATGGTAATAAGTTATATATTTGATGTTAGCCACTCTGAGCCCAGTTTTGGCTGGGGAGGGTGGGGTATAAATATAATAATAATAGTAATTATTATTATTATTATTATTATTATTATTATTATTATTATTTATTTCCCCTCCCAAACCAGTTTCGATCCAAACAGAAAAAAGAACCACCAAGCTGTGTTTTAAGCTGGTAATGCACACACTGCCCTAGTCTGATACTTTATAGTATAAAATGCATTTTATTAATTTTTGCTATTTTCCTGCCTTTCTTCCTATGATTGGTCATATATACCAATGTTTATAGCAGATTGAAATTAGTTTACTGCAGATGAGTTAAAAAATGGGATGCGTCACGCTACAACAACACCCACCCATTCACCCCCAGCTAGACCTGAGACTGTTGAATGGGGAGAAATGAACACAAATTCAATTACACATGCTTTGAGTTAATTACAATCGTGCATATGAGAAAATATTAGAGGGATGGTCCAAAGGATTCCCGGAAAAGGGAAGCTTCTAGAAGGCAGTTCAGGAGTAAACGACTGCCAAGAGGAAATGGGCAGCAGCACCAAGCAAGGGAAGGCCAGTCTATTTATCGGTAACATGTGTAAACATGGTTATATGTGTAAGTTGGTGTGTGAGTTTGTGCCTATATTACTTTTCCGTGTCTCCTGTTAGTTACGTTTATTGCTGATAAGTAATAAGTGATTTTTGTCTTGTAGTACTGGTTCCAACACTGGCCAGCTGTTCTAGTTATATTCTACCAATGTTCTTCACAGAGTAATATGCTTGTGTGTATATATATATATATATATATAATTATTATTATATATCGCAGGCTGAACGTCCACATTTTGGTGGATGTAGACAATCCAAGATCCACATTCAGCCAACCTTGGACGTTCGCTCTGATTGTAATATGTGTAAAGTCAGAGTGAATCACGAGAGAATGTTGGTGTTCAAAGCTCTTTGGTTATTTACGTGGTACTCAGGTTAACCCCTTGCATCAGCAATTGTAATGAAACCTAGTTCACCTACTGTATCAGCAAAGGTAGGAATAGGTATGGTTACCCTGCTCTCATTTACTTCAACCTGGCTCACTTGTGTTGTTTTGAGAAACACTGCTGTGTGTGTGTGTGTGTGTGTGTGTGTGTAGTGTTGTGAACTCAAAAGTCTCTGTTTCTAATTGCAGGGCGGTGAGCATTGTTATTACCAAGGTCACATCCGAGGGAATTCAGAATCGTTTGTTGCCCTGTCAACCTGCCATGGACTTCAGTAAGTTTGTCTAAGATGTTGTATGCAAATAGCTAACCTGAAAAAAAGGGGTGTGTGAACTTTCTAGCACAGGCTCTGTAGTGCATGTTGCTTTGCCGTGGCCTGGCAGCCCCAGACCCAAATTACCATCAGTGGCAGCACCATCTGCAGCAGTGACGGGGTGCTGAAGAAAATGCTTCTTTCTCCTCTTGCACGTTGCCATTGATTGCAGGTCAGAGGGCTCCAGGAGTGACGGGCATCTCCAGTGTTTACTGAGCTGTCCTGGCAAACATTGGAGCAAACTGGACCACTCCTTCCAGCTTCTGGAGAGCTCCAACCTACTATCAGTGCTGATGGTGGTGTGCCAGAGGGAGGAGAGGACCCTAGAGAGAGAGAGATTGAGTGAGTGTGTTGGGTGGTGCATTTTACCGCAGTTCATAGTGCTTGGCTGAGTGAAGAGCTCCTCCTGCCCAGACCAGTAGAGAAATGCCTCTCTCCACTTTTCAGAAATGAATTAGAAGATAGGAGAGAATGACTTCCTTCTCCATTGTTGGATTTTAACAGGAAGGAAAATCCACCTTCTGCTGATCGGTGGAGGTTGCTCTGTGTGTGTTTTCTCTGCACGTATGTATATGTATGTATATGTGCTGCCTGTGTGTGTGTGTGAGAGAGAGAGAGAGGGGGGGGGTGACAGGTAGTGTGTGGCACAGGCACAAATAGAGGATCACACTCACCACTGGCTTGTGACCCTTGAAGGCTTGTCCAAACAGTGAATTGCAGCTCTTGGGCCAAAAAGGACTTCACTACCCCAGGGTAAGCAATACTGAGCTAAATAGACCAATTATATGACTCAGTATAAGGCAGCTTCTGATGCAAACATGTCCATCATTCTATTCATCCTACTACTTGTTTGTTGTTTTTTTAAATGGGCCAAATTGGAAATACTTGTAGTTTTGGAAGCAACTCACATTTATCTTGATTGCTGAATGAGCCGTTTTGTGCTCAGTCCATGCTGCATTAGCTGTGTTAGATACCAGCTCAACAACCAGCTTGCGATAAATACTGTGTTTACTTGAATCTAACGTTAGCGCACCTTTTCTGGCCGAATGACTTTGTGAAGATCAAGGTGCGCATTTGATTCGATGGCACATTGGACTCGAGAAAATATGGTAGATACCTATAGCCAAGTAGGTGTCTTAAAGAGGATTAGACAAATATATGGCTGGAAAACCCAACTGGTGGCTACTAAAAACTGCTTCAATGTTTTCTGCTGTAGTCAAGTGGTGTGTGTGTGTGAGAGAGAAATAAATAAAAGATATAAATACTAGTCAGGAAGGCTAGACGGAGCCACAGCTTTATCAGTCCCAGCTAGAACGGCAAGTCTTCAGAGTCGAGAAACAGCTGAAGGCCATCACATCGATTACCCCTGGTGTAGTGGCTCAGAGACTGCACTTTGAACCTGTTCAGCTCTCGCCTGAGCCATGAACTCACAAAGTGGGCTTAGGCAAGCCACTGCCTCAAAGCCTTCACCCCCTCCAACCACCATCCCTCTGTTGTATTGTGGGAGGGGGGAGCACTGGCCTCCCTCACAGGTTACCTGTGGAGATTACTGAGATAGTGTATTCAACACATTTGAAACGTTCTAAGCGCAGTGTCCTTATTGGTCTGTTTCTCTATATTTGATCTACATATGATACAACATCAGACCTGAGGGATCATCCTTTGGTAAGAGATTGCTTCTAAGGTCATGATGAGGCTATAAATAGAAAGCTCTTACCTCACGATTCTTTGTCATCACCCAATTTCCCTGAAAGGCCTGCACTTACCTTATGGGATCTTCATTGATTTGTTGCTCAGTACTTTTGGTATCACTTTTCAAAATATACTTTAAAAATTATTATATGTGTATTTGCAAGACTGACCTTTTTTTTTATTTTTTTAGTTTGTCAACCCTCCCCCACCCCCGAGTAATAAAAATATGTGGCTGCTTCTTTTTTCCTTTGCAATAATCAGGACTTGAGAGTGGGCCACGTTACGTGCTGAGCTCAGGTTACATGCTGAACACCAGCCTAAAAATAGTATCTTTTTAATGCAGTCTGCAGGGTTTGGCTGCATGACTTCCTTTAATAGTAAGATGTATTATTTATTTATATATAAAGATTGCACTCTGCAATTTCATTTAAAAGAAACCAAAGTGGTTTGCAACAACCACACAACACAGATTCAAACTGATCACCAGCTAACTATTACGGAAAAACGTTTGCTTCATAATTGTCTGTGTTTGCCTGGCAGCGAAGAAAAGTTTTCAGCAAACGTTTGAAGGTTACTACAGAAGGCACCTGCTGAATCTCTCTTGCATTCCTTAGGAATGGGCCAATAAAGGCTGAGTTTCACTGTGATGTTAAATCAGCCTCACTACCCCAGGGGATAACCACTGAAGTTCCTACAGATGATCAATCTGGGATATAAGGGTTCAGACATAAGGGTTCAGACAGTCCCTAAGGTATCCTGGGTCTAAATTGTTCAGGGGTTTGTAAATTACAAAATAACTTGCCTCAGGAGTAGATGGGCAGAGTGTGCAGATGTTTTAACAAAGGTCTCACATGTTTGCCCCCACCAGCAGTCCAGCTGCAACATTCTGCATAAGCCACAGCTTGTAAACCAAGTCTGAGGGCAGCCCCAAACAGATCACCTACTCCAGCTTTGAGGTTACTAACACAGGAACTACAGTGGTCAGGGTATCCCTTTCCAGGAATGGCCATAGCTGGCAAACTAGACAGAGCTGGCAAAAGGCTCTCCTAGCCACAGAGGACACTTTGGGCTCTGGTGACAGAGGTGTATCCAGGAGGACCCCCAAGCTACACACCTGCTCCTTCAGAAGAAGTGCGGACCTGTCCAGAGCAGTGAACCTGCCTGTTTCTCAGACATATATTGGCTCTTACACCATTATCCCTGATGCTTCCTTTGCCTACCAGACGATGGCAGGCCCCGTCGTAGTGGGACTGCTTGATGGTTCCTTGCTGATTTCATCTTGTTGACTTGGAACTTATAGTGACGCTTTCCATTCAACTTGGTTTTGACTCTCAGCATTTTGGTCCAACTTCCCAGACCCGATGATTTGTGAAGAAGACATAAATCCGCAGTATACTTGTCCAGCTCTCTTTAATTATCTCTTTCTTTCAGCTGCTGAATGTTAATAATATATCATATCCATCCTAAAAACAGAAGGAAGCCAAGATGGAAGACTTGTATGTGTTGGTGGGCAGCTAGGCCTTCCTGAGTGTATTGTGGCCCTTTACCGCCTCCTTCAGGCCACTCGCAGAAAGAATTAGACCACATCAGATAAGATGGCCCTTTGCTGATTTCATCTTGTGGGCTCCTGAGCACCCTCCTCAGTCCCACATCAGTATATTAAGGGAGGGTACTAGCTGTCAGCCAAACTGGGGCTGTGCCAGCTTTGTGAGAATATCCGACAAGTCACCTATCCACCATTACCACATATGCAGGTGTATGTGGGGTTTGTGCCATATTGTCCATGTCACGCTTGGGGGGGGGGAATAGAATCATAGCAACGTAGAGTTGGAAGGGACCCCACGGGTCATCTAGTCCAACCCCCTGCAATGCAGCGTGGGGCTCGAACCCACAACACTGAGTTTAAGGAGTTGCACTGAGCACCATACCAGCTTTAGATTTTTAAAATGTAAAGGTGTAGGACAGAACTTATCAGATACATAACGCTAGAGACTTTAGCTGTGTCCAACGAAGCATTGACTTTTGCGAGGTGTGCCTCTCTGGCAGCCACAGCTAAATGTCAGTTTTGGGGCCATTGACTACGGCAGAATTCGTGAACCCCATAGTGAAATCCCTAATTCCATCAGCTCACAGAAGACACGAGTACTTTGTTGCAGATTGGAGGATTGCAGACGCTTAGAAAGGAAAGGCCATTTTAGAGCATCTCTCTAGTTAGTAAATGATATAGTGCCTGTAAGACGCCAGTACCTGCAGCTGTTCAGGCAAGCAAGGTGTTCTCCCTGGGTTGCAGTGCTGCCTGTTGGTGGCAAGCAGGAGGCACTGCACATCAATGCGTTTAATGAACTAAAACTCAAGGTGATTTGGGTAGTAATTCCTGCAAGGCAGACAGAAATTGTCAAGAGTGTTTTAGAGTATAGTGTGCTTCCTGATAATGTTTTACTTTGTTGTCTTTAAAACACCAGCTACACACACACACACACACACACACACACACACACACACACTTGTATTTTTTATTCTATGAGTCTGATATTTCTCTAATTCTTAACAGTGGCATGTTCTATGATGGAAATCACACATATCTTATTGAGCCAGAAGACAACTACACTTCGCAAGTAAGTAGATAAGTGTTTCGTAAGCGGAATGCAGATATTATCTACAGGAAGCATATTTCGCAAAGTTGCTCTTTCCTTCTTTAGCAAACAATTTAGGAATTCTTATGTAGGTTCCAGCTGAGTTTCTGAACTGTCAGAAGGTTGCATCAGAAAAATACGCTTCTCAGCTTCATAACAGATGGCATTTAATAACACCCTTTGGTGCTAGAGTAAAGTCCCAAGAAAGTTTATTTTGTATTGCTTTACTAAATTTAGATGTTTCTTATTTCAGGAGGAATTCCATTTACACTCTGTTTACAAATCCAGATTATTTGAATTTCCTTTGGATGATCTTCCATCTGGTATGTGTGTGTTTTTTAAATCTTGGGGTTTTTTAAAAAAGCGAACATACCCTTAGTTCATCCTTCATTGATGCACTTACTTCATAGTTAATCACTTGTAGGGTTTGGTTTTGTTATTTTTAAACTAGAGGCTGAAGAAAATAATCTGCCAGCCTGATTGGGAAGCAGAAAAAACCTAACTCCTCTTCTAATAGAAAGTCTGTTCTCTAAAACCCCCTCCCTCCCTCCAAAAATATTTTTAGCTTTTTAATATTATGATAGTTATTTAATGACTGGTTTTAGGAGTCTCCGCAGATAAAAAACAGGCAGATTATAACTGATGAACTTCTGTAAACACATTACTACTTTCCTCTCTTTAGATTTGTTTAATAAATGAGCTATATATATTAAAAAACCCCAGCTCCTAATGATAATAATAATAATTTATTCTACCCCGCCCATCTGGCTGAGTTTCCCCAGCCACTCTAGGTGGCTTTCAACAGAACATTAGAAATAGATGAAACTTCAAACATTAAAAACGTCCCTAAACACGGCTGCCTTCAGATGTCTTCTAAAAGTCAGATAGTTGTTTATTTCCTTGACATCTGATGGGAGATGCTGAAGATCCGAAGAGGGTGTTTTCAAGGTGTAAGAACAAAAGCACATAAGACAAGCTTGCTGGATCCTGTCTGTGACTCAGCTAGCCCAGCATCTTGTTCTCACCGTGGCCAGTCAGATGTCTGTGGGAAGCCTGCAAGCCGGACATGACATAAGCACAACATTACTCTGCCTACTGGTATTCAGAAGCATAATGCCTTCACAGTGGAGGTAGAATATAGCCATTGTGGCTGGCAGCCATTGATAGCCTTGTCCTTTGTGAAGGCAAATGCTTGCATGCTTCCCATAGGTATTTGGTTGGCCACTTAGAGAAGAGGATGCGGGACAAGATGCACCACTAGTCTGACGCAGCAGGTCTGTTCTTACGTCTTCAGTTCTGTCTGGTTGTCCCTTTTATGAATTGGTAGGATTTCTTCCATGTCCTACCTGCAATCCATGATCAGTTTGTTCTGTTCAGTAGCATTCTTTGAAAAATAATAGAGCACACACCACACCGAAGTAGTATTGTGGTATTGTTTGCGTGCATGTTGTGTGAAAATATACTCGGGAGACAAAACGATTGAACCCGTAGCCATGGTTGCTGCAGTCAAAGCTTACCATGAAACTGAGGGGTGATTGGAAACACAAAAATTGGTTCCACACCTTTTCTTCTTCCTTGCCTTATTTAGTTGCTTATTACATTTTTATTTTGCGCTTCCTGAGAGATAGCATTGTCTCAGCAGCTAAATCGTCATCTCCCAGATAATACATGCTTAGCTTTTGTAACTGGAGTGTGGGTTATGGCTGTGTTCATGGATTTATTCTGGGCTTGGTTTGTGATGGAAACAGCACAACATCTCTCCCTCCCTCTCCTCTTGATAGAATATGAATATGAACAGATTTAAAATAATGCTCTTTTTTCAAATTATACGATTTATATAAACTGTAAATACATCTAAGGGACGCGGGTGGCGCTGTGGTCTAAACCAAAGAGCCTAGGGCTTGCCAATCGGAAGGTCGGCAGTTTGAATCCCCGCGATGGGGTGAGCACCTGTTGTTTGGTCCCAGCTCCTGCCCACCTAGCAGTTCAAAAGCACGTCAAGTGCAAGTAGATAAATAGGTATCGCTCTGGCGGGAAGGTAAACGGCATTTCCGTGCGCTGCTCTGGTTTGCCAGAAGCGGCTTAGTCATGCTGGCCACATGACCCGGAAGCTGTTTGCGGACAAACGCCGGCTCCCTCGGCCTATAGAGCGAGATAAGCGCGCAACCACAGAGTTGTTCGCGACTGGACCTAACGGTCAGGGGTACCTTTACCTTTAGCTTTTATAAATACATCTAATTATACAATACTTTTCAAAAGCATTTAGTTTGATTTGAATTCTGAAAAAAATATATTTTAAACATATTTCTGCCAATGTACTATTCTTGAAGCTGTGAGTAATTAATATTTTGGTACCTTTAAACAGATGGGTAAACCTGTTAGGGGAATCTGGAAATATTTCAGTGCCTATGAAAACATTCTGAAGTGTTTGGGGTTGGTTGGGGAGCCTTTTTCCATGTTGAGGGCCACTTTTCCTTGGAGGTAATCTGGCAGGGGCCACATCCCAGCAGTGGGTGGTTCTGGAGCCTGTGATGGGCAGAATCAAAGTCAAAAGGGGTGGGACCAACTCTCTTCTCTTTCTTTTCCTGCCTCTCCCTTTTCTCCCTCCTGCCAAACCACATCAAATTGCTGTATCAAAATACTGAGAGCTACATGTAGTTATGCCGAGGGCTGTATGTGGCCCTGAGACTGCTGGTTGCCCACCCCTCTTTTAAATCATCTAAAAGAGTTCAGAAAGAAGTCTCCTGCCTTTTTCCATTTTTATTTTTTTTAGAAAGGTCAAAACATGATAAAACTACTGTTGCATGGGATGGATGATGAAGAAATATGTTTGTGTATGAAAGCTACACTCGGTTGCATAAAAGCTTTCGGGGGTTTTTCACTCTCAGTTTTTTAGAGGCAGCAAAAATCATTTTTCAGTTATTCATATATCCCTCCTGGGGGCAGTTTCAGAAGTAGGTGGGTGATGATACGCTTCTGGTTTTTCGTAGCAAAATCCATTTATATGATCGTTCAGATAAGGAAACTTTGCCTTTTAGTGAAATGCTGAGATGTTTGTTATATAGGCTTTTAATGCTGTTTTTGGTTCTGACTTCTCTTCATGCCATTAATACTTTTTTTATATAAAAAATTCTTATCTCGCCTAATTAAAATGCTGATATAATTGGGCTTTGATCATCCCTGGCCCAGGCTGCCATCCTCCACAGACTTGCCTGAAAATTAGTGCTGTTGACGTCAGTGGGAGTAAGGGCTCCATTTAACAGTGCACATTTCCTGCACTCAAAATGCTTTGGTGTAGGAAAATGGATGTGAAGAGCTGGTTGTCTTTGGCCGCTGACTATGCATCAAAGCTCACAGTAACATACTGATCATAATGACAAAATAACTGCTAGAGCAGGGTGAGGGACCTTTGACCCTTCAGACATTGTTGGATCCTGTCTCTTATTGTCCCCTAATATTGGCAGTCCTAGATGGGGCTCACAGGAGATGGAGTTTCAACAATATCAGGAGGTCCATCAGTTCCCCACTCCTGTGGTAGAGGCTCAGTAATATTCTGCTCATGTTGGTTCTTTGTGTATATATAAAGGTGGAGCATGCTGTGGCTATGTAAGTAGCCATTAGAAAAGCAGGTATGCAGCCATGGAGAAATGGAAACTAGGTATTTTTTGGAGATTACCTTTCTTGTCTGTGTTGTTATTTAAGTTTATAAGTCCACATTTCCACACGGTGGTGCCCAAGGCCACCATTTATTTGCAGGAAAGCATTTTGAAGACTGCAGAAATGTAAACCACCACTTTTAATATTGAGCCACGTGTGAAATGCTTGCAATATTTTGCTGCTGTTGTTCAGCCTTGCTCAATGCAATTGCTTTCTTTGTCCTGCTGTTGAAAATGCCTGTCTTTTATCGACCCGTGTTGTTCTGACTTGAAATGTGTGTATTCCATTCAGAGTTCTGGCACATGAACACCACGTCACAGAAGTTTGTTGTGAAACCGAGACACAAAAGAAGAAAAAGGCAGGTATGTGCCTGTGCTTTTCCCTTTAAAGAATGTGCATTCAGGCATATCTTTCGGTGGATATGGGATTCTTTTCGGAAGGACGCGTGGGCTTTCAGAACTCTATGGACTTCAGTGCTTTCTGCAAAGAGCCACCTGTTATAGTGCGGTTTGGACATTGTCCCCTCATGCAAGTAACATGCTATGTCCAGCATCACCTGGTGACTCAGTGTAGAAGAACTGCCATAAACAGCATTGCTCTGGAAGTCCTATGTCATCTGCTCTATCAGAAATCCAGTCCCAAAAGGAAACTGCTGCTTTGCTTTGGGCAGGAAGCATGATTCCCCCTTGCCTCCTATTCCAGGTTTGCCCACTACACTGGCAGAAGGGGTTCCTTCTGCTCAGTTCCACCAGGAGTACTTGTGTCTTGGTGATGGAGAGATTATTTCCCTTCCTGTGTGCGGAAGGGTGAATGTGCCCTCTTGACACTGATGTCATTCCTACTTACCTGGACAGGGCTTGGACCGAGGTCAGGGCTACAGGGCTGCTGGTGGCCAATCCAGCAGTTCCACTAGTTCACCTGTGTGTCTCTATTGTGACCCACCCACACCTCGGTTTGTAGCAGCAATGCCAGGGACAGGAGGGCAGCTCCTGTAGGAGAAACTTCCCTTTTGCGGTCTCAGAGAAGAGGACACTTTGTAGAGGAGAAAAAGCCGTTTTATTGCGTACCCAGGTGAGAGTGCAGAGTAGTTTATAAATTGTTGAGCTTATTGGTGCACACATTACTCTGGAACAGATTTGTGGCATTCCTATAGAAAGACCACACTTTGATGGGAGGCAAGTCACAATCAATACCTTAATGCAAAATTTGCCCATTATGTTTCTTCCAGAGTTGCATCAGAATTAGATTGCTGATGCTGGGAGGCATGGCATATATTCTGTTGCTAATTTGGTACATGGAACTACTTGTAAGTGCTTTTGTAATGAGGCCAGAATGAAGGAAATAAATTCATTCCAACACGATGAGTTTTATTACAATCAGATACGTTGACATTTTACACATTTACAGTTTCTTACTCTTTCCGCAGGTTCATCAGAGCCCGTATAAAGTTGAAGAGGAAACTAAATATGTTGAGCTAATGATCGTAAATGACCATCTAATGGTGAGGTTTGCATTTTGGGCCTCTTTGGAGTAATCAATAATTCACGCCTGCAGTAGATTAACAATAAAATACCTATAGCAAAATGATTCTAAGCTATGCAGATATATATGATCAGAGTGAAGTCTGAGCTTGTTTGAAGTTATGCCTAGAGCGGCTCCATAGAACTTCTAAAAACATAGGAAGGGTCAGTAAGTATACAGTGTAATCCTATATATAAGTCTTCTCAGAACAAAGCCCCATTGAGTTCAGTGGATTTAATCCCTGATAGGATTGCAGCCACAGAAGGCTTCGGTTGTATACAGAACATTATGCCTAACATTTCTTCTAAATTACAGTATTAGCTGAACGGCATATATTTAGTTAAGAGAAACTATCCACAAAGTTTGAAAGCAGCCATGAATGTAATATTCCTTCATTGTGGCATCTATGTCATTTTTAATCTGTTTCTAAATGGTTAAAAGATACCCCTCAACATCATTAGCTTAGGACCAAAATAAATGTGATATTGAGTTTTTATTTGCCTTTAACATGCAGATTTCTTTAAAAATAGTAAAAAGGAGCTGCTTTTTGTATGTCTGCAGACACACATGTAAGTGTGTGCGAGAGAGATTTGCATCAGATTTACAGTGATTTTCCTTACATTAACAGCAGGAGGTGGCAGGAAAAGTTTAACCTCCTCCCTTCCTGCTGCGATCCTGATAATTATCACACCACTACAGCCTTGGCTTCTACTTGCACTTTAAAAAAATATGCGTCTCAAATGCAAAGGTGCATTTTAGGTCACATCTAGTTTGGCTCCTTAGCTATTGCAGATCTCTGAATACAAGATGTCAACAAATAATCATTATTGCCACCAGGGATGGCTGGTAAACCTTCATGATCTGCTTGTGAATTTACCAGAGGCACCTGCTGGTAATCTGATCCTAGGCTAGATGCGTTTTAATGACTATAGCTGTTCATGCACCCGGTTTACCAAAATTTGGGGAAAGAGCGAAACAACACAAAAGAAGTGGTCCTGTCCTACTTATGAAATTAACTATAGAAATTCTCCATGTTAATTCAAAAGACACACAGAATATGTGGGGTGGAGCCACTCCACAAACAGGATCGATCCAAATTAGTATAGAAGATTTTAGGGTAAGCCACAACACTCTTCCTCATTGGTGATTCTTTTTCTTTAAATCATTGAGTTTCACTCATTAATAAAAAGGGTATTATTGTCATTTGCAATCTATAATGCTGCAGGGACCTTCTCACACACAAACCCCACGGTGCAACTCTGCTTCCCCCCCTCCCCCGGTGAGGTTTCCATAGGAGTGGATTGAAGTGTGTGTTCCATTTAGGCACTTACACACACACACACACACACACACACACCAACTTCAACCAAATTATTACATAAGATGTCTCTCCATGGAATAAGAGATTATTGATCGCTTTCTTTGCCTCTGTAAGAAACAGGAAAGAAGGTAGTCATATTTTATTGGAGGCACTTTGAAGCAATTTGCTCTCCTTGCAATCGTGGAACTATTCGAACTGAGAGTTGCCAAGGAGATTTCTTTCTTCCGTTCTTTCTTTTCTTCATAATGATTGCAAACTTGAGTTCTGCAGCCAAGAGCAAAGGCAGGTCTCAAAATCTGAATCCTTGGAAAGCTGCCAGAGTAAGGAAGAGGCAGAACTCTGTTGTAACAAAGAAACTACAGTGTGTTTTTGTGTGTGTGTGTGTGTGTGTGTGTGTGTGTGTGTGTGTAGATGAAAAAGGCCAAACTGTGTAACTGGAAAACTTTCAGGACCACAAGAGTCTATTTCCATAATCACTTTCTACTAACAGTCAGGGCACTGCACAATATAAACAGTACAGTCCTATACGTGTCTGCTCAGAAATAAGTCACATCAAGCTCAATGAGGGTTACTCCAAGGTAACTGCAGCCCAAAATAGCTCATACGAAACGTAAACATTACTACTACCAGTAATAAAATACAATACTATAAAAGCAACACTGTGAAATATTCAAAAAAGCTCAATGAATTAATGTCCATATCATTATTCTGTCCCCCATAAATACTTCCACAGTTTATTTCCCTAAATTCTTTTTCACCAGATCTCCCAGGCATACACTGTGTCTCCAGTTCATAGAAACAAATAAGCTCTGCTCATATGTTACTTGTATGTAGGGCATTCTGTCGGTGCTGGAGGAATGGGATTGGCTGGCTGCCCCCGCTCCTGACACCACATCCCTGAGCTACTCCTACCCTAAGGGTGCATGACGTGAGCACCTGACATCTGCTGAGGAACACCTGTGTGTGAACAGCTGCTTCTGTGTAGCAGCTCCGTGCAATTGGGACACCTGGTTGCGCTGGTGTCCTAATCGCCTGGAACTCACGCACATGAGCAGGGGTTGGGTAGCCCGGGGGCAGGACCAGCAGCTTAACCCTGCTCCCGCTTCACAGTGTAAGTGCCCTGGGTGTTAGTAATGCATGAATAGGACTATAGGGCATAGGCTTTCTGGCAACCATGTGAGAATTGGAATCTTCTGATCATAGATCACTGGTAATACCATATTTTGAGACATTGAGGAAGCATAACAGTTGCTATTTTTTTCTGTCCTAAGCACATACAAGCTGGCCCAGTAAGATATAGGTTGAGGGATGCTAATCTCGCTACAAATGGCCTGTCTTCTTGGCTATCAGCTTTGTGGAATGCCCTTTCCATCAATTGGTACTTTGACCTTCATGGTACCATAGGGAGTTTAAGATAACAATACTAGTGTTTAAATAGATGGCCAGTAATCCATTTTTCACGGGCGAAACAAGCCTTTGATAAAAGTGAATTCTGAATAGAAATTGTGCTTTAGAAATCTGATTAGGATTTGTCTGTCTTTTGTCCTTCAGCTGAAAAAGCACCGATTATCGGTCGGCCACACAAACAGCTTCGCAAAATCAGTAGTGAACATGGCAGATTTAGTAAGTATAATTCACAAGCTGCTAGTGCAAGATAGATTTGTCAGCCTTATCACGGGGATGGTAATTTTGGGTCAGGGAGCGATAGCTGCAGTGCATTTTTTCATCGGTGTCTATTTTGCCATTGGATGACTGAACTGCAGAAGTCTCAGTTATCTTATTAGGACCATTCCTGTATTATGTTTCTGAATCAAAGGTTCCCAAGTTTTGAAGCACACTCCCTTATATTGGGGGCGGGGGAATGGCCTTGAAAATATATTCAGATATTTAGCCCTTGATCACATTGCGCTTTAATCTGTTAGAAAGGAGAGGGCCCTGACCCATCATTAAAGTACTGTTCTTTATGCTCAACATTTCCTTAACTACATGGGGGCAAAGGGGCTGTTTTAAGGAGAAAAAGAGGCAAAATTTATACTGTCGCTTGATGATCGTTCATTTTGTTAATGTGCTAGATTTACAAAGAACAGCTCAACACCAGGATAGTCTTGGTTGCCATGGAAACCTGGGGTACTGATAACAAGTTCACCATATCTGAAAACCCACTGGTGACCCTGCGTGAGTTTATGAAATATAGGAGGGATTTTATCAAAGAGAAAAGTGATGCAGTTCACCTTTTTTCGTACGTAATTTCATATTGTTTTGTTATCACTTGGGGTAGTGTATTCTGAATTGCTAGTGCTGAATGACGTTAATTTGGTCTGGGCATAATTCTAAACCACAGTTTATGATTGCATGCGTGAGCCTTAGGTATGTGCATGCTCCACTTTCTCCTTCTCCTCAGACATGGCCTTGAGGTGATCAGAAGCTATCGTTTCCATTTTTAATTCAGTGGTTTATTGTTACGTCCAAACCTCAAACTCTGTTTAATCTTAAAAAATGATTTTGGGAAGCAAACCAGGATTGTAAACCAAGATTAACTTGTTTCCCCTAAACCACAGTTAAGGCTAACCACAGTTTGTCTGATTGAGCAACTGTGGCTAGTTGAAAACAAAAGTAAAAAAGGAGTTTGAGGCTTTGTTCATGTAATGCCTTGTGTTTCATCAGAACACAGCCAAACATTTTACATGATGTCCAAATGCGCTGTGTACTGTAATACACACTTTACACATTATTAGGGCAGACCCATGTTTAAACCAACTTGTACGACCCTGAATGCCATCTATTTTCATAAATATTAAAACAGAGGTGGGATTTTAAGTGTGGTAGAAGTGATTTGAGCACACATTCACTGTAGTCTGAGGAATTTTGCTTTTAAGGCAGTGAATGGGTTATTCAACCTACATCTACAGACAGCGACCGATTTGCATAGGGATTACATTCTGGACCCTTGTGTGCATTGGTGGGGCCGCCCCATTCTACCCCCATTTTTGTGATGTTTTCTGGTCACTTCTAGGTTTGGTGCAATGCTCGTGTGTGCGGGCATGCATATATCGGCCACACCTAAAATGGTCACTTCCATTTTTAAATATTACCTCAGCCTTCTCTCGATGCCATCTTCAGTGCGGACTGCAGAAGTAAAACCAGCAAAGTCAAGGGGGGCTTATCCCAGCCAACCCAACTGATTTCCCCCCACAAATATTTAAATCTGGATTTATGTTTGCACCCCTCTAGTATCCTTGTGCCTTATTTTCCAAGGGAGTAAACAAGGCATAAGACGAGCTCCTCTTGTCTGTCATAGTTGACTTGCACTTTAAGGTAGGATCTCTCTAATGCTGTCCCCAAGGCAGTTGTGCCAGGATTTGAAAGCACCCAATTCCTACTGGATCTCCCCTGATGCCAGGTGTTTTTGAGTGCTCCCATTAGCCCCAGACAGCTGGAATGCACGAGATTTATAGTCCGAAACATCTGGGGGGCATCAGACTGAAGGAGCCTGATCTGTGTGGATCATCTCTTTTCAAATCGTTTCCATGTTATTTCAAATTCATGGTAGCTTCCTTTTTAAGGCTGTGGCTTTCTGCTCTCTTTCCTTCTCCCCGCTGCCTTCAAACCACTGTTCTGAATCAGAAGCGGGAACTTCACAAACAAGCATACGTGTTTTCTGTCTCCTGAATCCTAAGCTAATGCTTGTTTGAAAATGCCATGATTTCTAAATTGCCACTTTGTGCTTTTCTCACTATGGTTTCTGTTGTTTTTCTTTAAAGGGGGAGTCAGTTTCAGAGCAGTCGCAGCGGGGCAGCCTACATTGGTGGCATTTGTTCGCTTCTGAAAGGTGGTGGTGTAAACGAAGTAGGTCCAAATGCCTCTAGGAACACAAAAGGGCTATGCAGAAATGTTTTTTGTGAAAACCCATGTCTGGTTCAGCTCTCATGGCACAATGCTGTGTGACCCACCCTCCCCTGTCACAATGGGAAGAAAGCTCCCCTTGGTACCAGTCAGAACATGGAAGGGGGAAAAGATTAAAACCCTTCTCTCCCCACCCCCCACTCCATGCTACAGTCTCAGTCTTCCCCAACCCCGCACTGGATTTTTATTATTAATATCTTATAATAAAGTTTAATGCTATAGATGAACTTGTTTTCTATTGGATGTCTTCTCTAATCATTTAAGGGCAAATGTTTTTACCTGTTATTTGGCCTACGCTTTGCAACTTTCAGCCAGCTTGCTATTCCCCTACGGTTCACGGGAAGTAAATGGAACAAGCCTTTGCAATCTCATCTTTCGCTTCAGGACAATTCTTTTAAAATTTATAAAACACTTGTAAATTGATTTTCTTTTCCCCTCTCCAAGCCGTTGCTTCTCTTGTTTTGTCTTTCAGTTTGGAAAGCCGGATTTAATGTCAGTAACGTTGGCACAGTCCTTAGCTCACAACCTTGGCATTTTCTCAGACAAAAGAAAATTGCAGAGTGGTAAGGAAGTTTGGGTGATGGTTTCCTTTAAAAAAATGCTTATTTATTTATCTCCCCCCCCCTGGAGGGCAGATGTATTCTCATGCCCCTGCCTTTGCCCAGTCTCTCCTTTTCTCTTTCTCGGTCATTGTAATAATATATTATTTTTCAGAAGGAAAAGGAAATTTTTGAAAGATGTTCCTAAGAATGCATCTGAACTCTCTGGAATTGCATTGTTTGTTAAATAACGAATCAGGGATACAGTTTTGGTCTAACTGTGGCAATTATCCTATGGTAATTGTATGCAAATTAAATGCAGATCTTTTGGAATTGGCCACATCTGCACCTCATGACCTGGCTGGTGGTGGGAAAGTATTTCTCCTCTCCTGTCAGATACGGGACATGGCATTAAATTAAAACTTACTTACTCCATACATGCTTGTGAGAGCCAGATCCATGAAGGTTTGTTTTGCAGTGATCGTTTCTTCATAGATTTCTGGAATGATACATTTAAAGATGAGAAATGCCCTTACTCACGGCTTACTTTGGTATTATAGAACTCCTTTTGGTAAATGTTATTTATAAGTATTGTGTATTCTTCCTTACTTCTTATTTGTTTCTCCTAATATGTTTCCCCCCCTATATTTAGATTATTTCCAAAGGGGGGAAACAAGAGTGTGTAATTTATTTTATTTTATTTTATTTTAGGTGAGTGTAAGTGTGAGGACACATGGTCTGGCTGCATAATGGGAGATACTGGGTAAGGTATTTCTTTTGAGAAAATTGATGCACATTGTCAAATTGACAATGGGTTGTGTTCAGCTAAGTCCTACTCAGAGTAGACCCATTAAAATACATAAACATAAGTTAATCATGTCCATGAACTTCAATGGGTCTATTCTTAGTAGGGATAGCATTGACTGCCACCCATTGAGTCTGTGTGTCTCATTCGGGAGATAACAGTCTGCCTGCTGGATCAGGATCAGGCCCATGGCCCATATTGTACAGCATAGGTCTCACAGTGGCCAACCAGATGCAGGTGGGAAGCAACTGGTATTCAGAAGCAAACCACCTCCATCAGCAGAAGTAGAACATAGCCATTGTGTCAAGTTGTGACTGATAGCCTCATCCTCCATTTGTCTAATCTTCCTTTAGAGCCATGCAAGTCGGTGGCCATCATGGCACCTTGTGAGAGCAAATTCCACAGTGTGACAATGTGCTGTATAAAGAAGCACTTCCTTTTGTCTGCCCTGAATATTTCAGCTTTTTTGGATGTCCATGAGTTCTAATGCTATGACAGGGAGAATGAAAAAAAGTTCTCCATTGCTTTCTCCTGTGCCCTACATAGCTCCATAGACTTCTGCCATGTCACGTCTTAGTGTGAGTTCTAATGCTGCACAACAGAGGAATTCACTAGTGCATCAGCTGCACTAGCAGAAACCGGTCGCTCAACAGATTACACAACCTCTTACACAAAGTTACTTGCAACCTGCTTGTGCATTCTCTTGTGCAGCAGTATTCTGGTGGCGCCAAACTTTTTACCAGAAGAACAAGTACACCGCCAAGTGACTTTAACTTAGTGCTAATTTGGATACAAACCGTTGCCTCCCCAGCATATCAAAATCTGAACTAGTTCAGCTCCTACTGGCTAGCAACCATGTCATAAAAATAAGGATAGACCAATGTAGCCGAATTCTTGGCCTGTTTTTCCACTGAGCTTGCAGAAGTGAAAACAAAAGCATCAGTGACATGCTTCATATTGAACACATAACTCGCCTCTAGGCTACTCATTCTCCCTAAGCATATTCATGATGGAAGCTAAACTAAAATTATGTTTTTGGCCCACCTAATAAGCCACAAGTTTCTTTTTTCTTTTTAAATTATATTTATTAGAAGTTTAAAGATTACAGAAAAAAGAAGAGAAGAGAACAACAACAAAATTTAACAAAACATACATTACAATACATAGAAAAGAAAAAAATACTTAAAAAACCAATACAACAATACAACAAAAGAAAAAAAAAACCACACACATCCAATATTCCATATCTTTATCTTTCATTTGCTTGTTTCATCGACCTCCTCACACCTCCCTTTTTGTGTTCTAGTTTAGTTAATTATTTCAGCAAATTCTTTCCATCTTTCTCAATTTTTGTTGGGTAATTTATCTTAACAGTCTAACCTATTAATTAACTCAACAAATCCTTTCCATCTTACACTATATTCTGTCATTCAATTTACCTTAATTTATTTTAACCTTATCTTACCATAAAATACCTTAAAGCTTAAAACTTAATAAGCCACAAGTTTCTCATAGCTGTTGTTCTCCTTGAGTTTTAAACATGAAATATGTAGGCACATAGGCACTACCAGTTTACTAAGTGAGTACTGTACATCCGGGGATGTGGGTGGCGCTGTGGGCTCCACAGAGCCTAGGACTTGCCGATCAGAAGATCGGCGGTTCAAATCCCCGCAATGGGGTGAGCTCCCGTTGCTCGGTCCCTGCTCCTGCCAACCTAACAGTTTGAAAGCATGTCAAAGTGCAAGTAGATAAATAGGTACCGCTCCAGCGGGAAGGTAAACGGCGTTTCCGTGCGCTGCTCTGGTTCGCCAGAAGCGGCTTAGTCATGCTGGCCACATGACCCAGAAGCTGTACGCCGGCTCCCTCGGCCAATAAAGCAAGATGAGCGCCGCAACCCCACAGTTGGCCATGACTGGACCTAATGGTCAGGGGTCCCTTTACCTTTACTGTACATCCATGTGAAGTTTCTTAGCTCTATTCCCTATCATTATTTTGTATTCCTCAGTGCTCCAGATAATTTGCAAATACGAACAGCAGAAGCTGGGGAAAGGCAAAAGCTAATGAGATTATCTAGGGCATCACTGGAGAAAGCACAAGAGTCATTTCGATGACAATTCTTCCTACTGGTTTTAATTAGCAATAAAATAGCTTAAGGAAATAACTAGCAAAAATATTCCTTCCAGTGGAAGCACTTTCAGTCCAATAGAAGTCTTTCCTGAATGTTTATGAATCCACTGGTGGGTCATGAAATAACCTGCTTCCCCCTTTGATGCAGCTATTACCTTCCAACCAAGTTCTCCAAATGCGACGTTGAGGAGTACCACGAATTTTTAAATAACGGAGGTGGAGCCTGCCTTTACAACAAGCCTTCCAAGGTGATAGCGGTTTGACACTAAATAACGTTTTACATTCTGTCTACTCAGATGCTCAGCTCAGTGTCCTCCCAATCATTTGTATTGAAATGCTTCTTGGCAAACCCACCTGTGTAGCACTTGTTATATATTACCTTATTCTTTCAAAATTGGCTGTGGGAAATCTGTGACCTTCCAAAACGTTGCTGGGCTGGATGAGAAGTTTTAAGTGTCATTTTTGTTTTGGAGCATTTAAAAAACAAAACTGTGCATTGACTTGTTTCTACAATACATTGGGCGTAAGGATCAGTTTCCGTAGTAGAGGTTGTTTGCTTTGTTTAGTGCTCCACTTAACTGGACACAGAACATATGTAGGGGGCGAGGACTCTTAGAATATCCTGTGACAGATGGGGATGACCAATCTCCCTTTATTCAGTGATTCCTCTATAGCAGTCTATTTTTAAGTAAATCTGCATATATTTAATTTTGGCTTTGCTTTTCATCACAGCATTGGGATTCAGAGCTCCCTGGTTTTTCATCTCCCGAAATTTAATCTGCTGCCTCCCCCTGCCTCTAGTAGTGCTTTTTAATGTGGTGTTTTATGGATTTGTTTAAAAGTTTGTTGAGAGTTTCCTTGGGTTTCTTTTTAAGAGAAAGGCAGGGTAAAAATATTTTAAATAATGAATAATAAACTGCATATGCAGTACTGAAGTTGAAATGGCAAAGTTTTAAGGAAGTTAAAGGAGTTTAGGATTAATGTGCAATTGAAATATTTTAAAGACTTCTTCCAACTATTGTAACTCATTTCCCTAGCACCACTACTATAACACACAGTAAAAAAAAAAAGTTAAGCATTTATGTCCTTCCCTTCTGGGCATCTTACAATATTAAAAAATGAAGATGCTATAAAACAACAACAGAAACCAAATCAGCCAAGGAGACAGGGCCAGCAGTTAAACCCCCAAACGCTTTGTTGTTGTTTAGTCGTTTAGTTGTGTCCGACTCTTTGTGACCCCCTGGACCAGAGCACGCCAGGCACTCCTGTCTTCCACTGACTCCCACAGTTTGGTCAAACTCATGTTAGTAGCTTCGAGAACACTGTCCAACCTAAGTTGCCACAAAGAGCAACAGCCAGAATAAAATGGTTGTTTAAAAATGAAAAGGCATTGCGAAGATGCAACCACAAACGACTCTCTTTGTATACAGTGGGATAATTTAGTGCGTAACATTGGAAAGACGTTTGCTTCATTTTCTTTTCTGTATGTCACTGTAGATGTGACTCATACAAGCCTTTTTAGGCATTGAGTAATAAATATGTGAAGCGGCTATTGAAAAGTGGTAGTCACAGCCCCTGGGTGACAATGCATGCACAAGCTTCACCCCTGGCTGATGCATAAACTGTGCCATGCTCCATGTGCACAGACACATTAGACAGGAGAACTAGTTACCTATGGCAGTGGTGCGAAACCTCACGTCCAGCCCTAGCTGCCCGTTGAACTTTCCACAGCCCCTGTTTCCTACTCTGAGTGTATATGAACAACCCTTGAACTCTTGCTTGTCTGGACGGAGGACAGAGAGGTGTGTGAATGTGAAGCAGGCATCCTGCTGTACAAACGTAAAATTTACATTGGTTGCCTCAGCCTTTGGCACTCCCCACCACTGGAACCTGGCCTTTGGAAGCTTGCCCAGAAGGGAACGTGGTCCCTGGGCTGAAAAATGTTTCACACCCCTGGACTCCAGGGGTTATAGCTATATCTTGCATACTGTATTCTTGAGAGCTCCTCCACCTAAACATATGAATACGACTGTGGGCTGTTTTACCGGTGGCCAAATAATGCAGCCCCACACTTACCCTTTTTATCCTGTCTTCCTTATTTATTTTTCATCGCAGCTTCTCGATCCTCCAGAATGTGGCAATGGCTTTGTTGAAGCTGGAGAAGAATGTGACTGTGGTACTGCGACCGTAAGTCATGCAATGAATAGTTTGCCCGGGGCATCACTTTCTTTCCAAATTAGACAACTCGTTAAAAAAAAGAAAGAAGAGAAACTGCCTTAAGGGGGCGGGCTTACTGTTTGCATTGTTTTCCTCGCCAGCCACTTGGTGAAGGAAGCAAACTGCACATTAACCGTGCATTTATGCATGCACAGTGGTGCTGATGGTGGTACTTTGTATCGGCTTGCAATGTACCAAACAAGTGTAAAAAGAAGACTTTGGCGTGTATCCAATGCTCGTCATGCTCAGAGCATGTTTCTCAGTTAGTAGATGCCAGAGTGTAGGCTTCTCCCAAGGCCATCAAATTATTGACTTATTTATTTTTTAATCTGAAGTTTGCATTATGCGCACCATAGAGTGTCAGGTTAAGGCGCAGATAGTTTTGAAGAAATGCGCTCGTCAAACTGCTGTTTTACAATTGCCTCCACTCCTCAGGAATGTCGTGCTGAAGGTGGAGATTGCTGTAATTCCTGTAGTCTAACGGCTAACTCCGAATGCAGTAATGGACTTTGTTGTAAAAAATGTCAGGTGCGTATTTAAGTGAAAGATTTTTATTTTTTATTTTTAAAAAAAGACCATTTAAAAGCCCGCCACTATGTCATTATGCCTACTTTTGATTACCAGCAGAATTGACTCATTTTCTGAAAGCTTAACAAAAAGTATCCCAATGTTTCCTTCGTAGTCAGTTTCATCTGCAGGACGTAGCGCGGTATCTCCTGTTTTCAAGTACTTGTTTGTTTACAAGTCGGCCAGTTGAGAAGATATTAAAAGAGAAACAGTAGCACAGAATGAAATGGTGTTATAGCTGGAAGGGACATTGGAGGTCACGCAGCCAAACCCAGTTCTCGCTGTAGGATCTGCAACGGAGGATGCAGCTTCAGTTATCCATGACAGAGGGCCATCCATCCTTTGCTTAAGTACCTCCGGCAAAGCAGAGCTCACCACCTCCTGAGGCAGGCTGCTTCTCCTAAGTTTAGCTGGAATCTGCTTCTTTAAACCGCTTCCCTCCTTTATATGGGCCGCGGATCACAGGGGTTGTGCCGTTTATAAATATCGTGGCATGTAATTGTAACCTTCATTATTGTACTTGGACATTCGAATTTTGTCCGTCGCATATGAGAACCCCCAATTAAACCCGATGCGAAGAACAGAAGAAGAAAATATTTTTGTGTGTGTGGTATTTTGACTTGAACTGTCAAAAGGTTATAGATCTTCTCAGATATTTAATGTTTCTTTTTCAGTTTGAAGCCAAGGGAGTTGTATGCAGAGAAGCTGTGAATGATTGTGATATTGCAGAGAGTTGCACGGGAGACTCTAATCAGGTAAAGTTTGAAAATGAGCGACTAGAAGGCTGTAGCTCAGTATAGCAACAGGACATCTGCTTGGCATGTAGAAGGTCCCTGGTTTAATCCCTGGCATCTCCAAGTTAGTATTGGGAGAGGCTCCTGCCTGAAGCCCTGGAGAGCTGCTGCCAGCTAGTGTAGGCCATATGGAGCTAGAGGGACCATTGGTCTGACTCTGTATAAGGCAGCTTCTTACATTCAGAGAGAGAGAGAGGTTTGCAAAATCTGGACATTCAATTAATACCCACTTGAACAAAACAATTTTGGGAGACAGGAGGCAATGTCCAATCGAAGGAAAGCTTTAAAAGCTGCACTTGCATTAATTTTAGGCACTGCAGTACAGCTTTAAAAACTCTGGTCTAGCTTATCATATGGTTCCTTCTGCTTTTTCTTTAGTGCTCTCCAAACCTGCACAAAATGGATGGGTATTCATGCGATAACGAAGAGGTACGTACAATGTTTCATTTGATAACTTGCGTAAGATAGGCTTGAGCAGATAAAAGCTAGTCTGTTCACAGACGTCTATAATTAAAGGACTCATTTGGGACGATGGAATCTGTGATTCTAAACATGTGCTGCAGAATCCTGTGCCAGAATCGTGTCTCTTCCCCAGCCCTTCCTCTTAAATATATGTGTATATATTATAGGTTTGGTTTCTTCTTCACTTTGTTTCTTGCATATCACATTAGCGGCAGATAGACAATTGTAATGTAACGTTAATACTTTGAATACATAGCAATAATTTGCACTTCAGTTGGTTAGGTGAGTGGGGGGGGGAATAGGTTTTTGAATAGTAAGACCTTTTTATTTAGATCTGGCAAACATTTGAAATTGAAATTGCATATTAAAATGGAGCTGCATATTAAGGCTGCTAAGCTCACTTACCTGGCAGTATGTCCCATTGGTACCTATTGCTTGTTTGTTTTTTACTGTTTTATAACCTTTCCCCCTCAGTAATGTAGAAACAAGCTAAGCAGTAGATTTTTTGGAAAATATGTCAAATGACGACAGACTGTGTGTCCTTTTCTTGGTTTCTCTTCAGGGCCTTTGTTTTGGAGGACGATGTAAAACAAGAGACAGGCAGTGTAAATATATCTGGGGAGAAAGTGAGTAAGCTCTTTTAAGCTTCCAATTGTTTTATTTTTTTTAAGCGGTATCCCTCTGGAAACCCACTTGCTTGGCATCAGGACTGTCACACAGAAGAAGGCAAAGACGTGCTGTTTGCTGCTCCAGAGAACAGCATTATATCTAATGGACTTAAGTTACAGAAGAATAGATTCTGATTCAACATTAGAGCCACATCTGCCCTATCCTTTTAGAGCACTATGATACAGTCATGGCTTCCTCCAAGGAATGCTGGGAACTGTAGTTTGTTAGGGGTTGCTGAGAGTTGTTAGAAGGCCGCTATTGCCCTCACAGAGCTGCAGTTCTCAGAGTTATTTGGGAAGATGGGTTGATTTTTAAACCACTCTAGATTTTGTCTGGTTGCTAGAGAATAGACGGTATTCCACTTGAAGCGGCTACAGTTTCCAGCAGCAGATATTTCTGCTGCTTTATAACCACAGATGTCTACTATTTTGAAGGCAAAGTGCTTTATCAATTGTACAATACCTTTGCAAATTCTAGTTTCCTGTCAATTTCCTCCCACTCCAGTCACCAGTACATTTCAAGGATGCTTTAGCTGCGAACCTTCAGTGCTTATATAATAAAAATAGTTGAGAACATATAAATTGTCATCTCAGTCAGGCCAAAATATTCCCATGTTTACACATGCTTAGCTTTTAGAACAAACTTGTGCGACATGATTGAAGGAAATTAGTTTCTGTTATTTTTTTCCTTGCTCTTAAGATGTGACGGTCGCTGATAACTATTGCTATGAGAGGTTGAATATAGAAGGAACTGAGAAAGGCAACTGTGGCAGAGACAAAGATACTTGGACACAGTGCAAGAATGAGTAAGTTAACACTATTCTTTTGAGATAGCACCTTGATTTTCTTCGTGTTTTAGGCCAGTGGTTCTCAGGCATTATAAGCAACATATATGTTCCTTTGCAGATAACCAGATCTAACACCATCATCACCATTAATAATAATAATAATAATAATAATAATAATAATAAACCGGTAATTTTAGATTTAATTGCAAAGACTGCATTGCAGTAATACAATCATGAAGTCACCAGTGCCTGAGGTACTGTTGGTCCCCAGGTGCTGGTTTGGGTTCAAGGGGGTTCTGGGCCTGTAGAGGTTGGAGACTGTTGGGGTAGACCAGGGATGTCCAACACGTCAATCGCGATCTACTGGTCGATCCCTGTGAGGTTTAGGTAGATTGCGGTCAATCGTTGGCCCCCTTCCGGCCCCACCCCCTCTCCCAGCACCGGCCTCTATTGTTGCAGAAGGGAAGTCAGAGTTTAAAAACGGAGGCTGTTGTCTGGCCAGTGATCGTAAAGTTGGTGGCTGCCTTTGCTCCCCCCTCCCTCAGAAGAGTTGCCCCCCTAAAAAATGTGGCACCTCCCCTCCCCCTAAAAAGCTCAACAACTTTGAGCTGAACCCCTAAAAAACGGGGGTAGATCACTGCCAGATTTTAATTTTGAAAGTAGATTGCAGTCTCTCGGGAGTTGGCCACCCCTAGTGTTGGCCAGGGTTTTCCAAACTTGGGTCTCCAGCTGTTTTTGGACTACAGTTCCCATCATCCCTGATCACTGGTCCTGCTAGCTAGGGATGATGGGAGTTGTAGTCCAAAAACAGCTGGAAGGCCAAGTTTGGGAAACCCTGGTGTAGACAATGCTGAGCTAAATGGACCAGTGGTCTGACTCAGGATAAGGCAGTTTTCTGTATTCTATTGCTTATGTTCAGTCAACATCACCTATTTCTCTTAGGCAAGTCCCCCCTCCTTTTTTTTTTTTACTCCAAGCAGCAGCAGCATCAACAATGAATGCCTTGTTTAATATTTCCTTCCAGGGATGTTCTTTGTGGATATCTCCTGTGCTCTAATATTGTTTCTATCACCCCGAGACTTGGGGAACTCGATGGCGAAATCACATCGACTTCTCTTCAAGCTGTGGACAAGTCCTTTGTTTGCAGGTAATTTCTCAAATCCTAAACGGGGAGGACCCAGTCCAAGGACATGAATTGTATGTTATTGTCATGATCAGAGGTAACAGTACATTACATGTCCATCGCTATGTGTATACAGAGCAGTTGCACTTGTAAATTTAAAATAACATCACATAAATTCCAGGTTGCTTAAGCACTGGTCAGAATTTTTTTTGAAGTTTTGCGTGATCCACTGTGAGAAAACGTAGACTTTTTTCTAGCCATGAAAAAAGGATTAGCAAACATTACTTAGTGTTCTATGTTTTGACAGCAGTTTTGTTAAAAAGGGATTTTAGTTTGGTGGATCTAACTTAACAAATGCTTTTTGTGTCCTTTTGCAGCGGGGGTCATGTCAAGCTAGAGGAAGATGCAGACCTTGGCTATGTAGAAGATGGGACACCTTGTGGCCAAGGAAGGATATGTTGGGAGCACAGATGCCTTTCTACAGAATCCTTTAACTTCAGCTCCTGTCCAGGAAGTACAGAAGGCACCATCTGTTCAGGGCATGGAGTAGGTTTTGCAGTGCCTTGAGGGAGTGATTGCACATTAATTCCTTAAATATTGGCTGGCTGGCAAGGGTTCTTTCTGTGCCTTTTCCAAAAGGGCTGTAAAAGAGGCTGAAAGTAAATACATGTGAACCAATCTGTAACCTACGCGTATAGGGTGGCATACAAATAAGAATAATAAATCATCCGGTATACTTTAAAGCACTGGAATTAATCATCTGCCTCATTTTGTAGCCTAGTGGTAGAAAAGCAGGAAAGCAATATCCTTTATTTATATTCGGATGACATATTCAGATTTGAGGACTGCTTTCTAAATGTTAGATTACATTCTTTATAGGTGTGCAGTAATGAAATACAGTGTATCTGTGAAGGGCTGTGGACTGGTGCGGACTGTGCCAAACCCATCATGAAACCAAGAAATGATGACTTTATGCCCAACCCAGGTGAGTTGCATGTTTTACAATTTAATGAAATGATCACAGGCTACTTGGGAGGGTCAGACTTCAAAGCATGTGCATTAATTTTCCACTTAACATGCCATCACAGCAGTAGAGTCTTTTGTCAATAGGTACCGTTGGACCAACTTTCACAGGCCAGAGCCCAGTTTATCAGATATAGCTACCTGCCACAAGACTCGGTTGTCTTAGAAGTCATGCTTTGTAAAAAGGGCCATCACTCAGTGGTTCCACATTGAGTCCAAGGCACCTCTAGATTGGGGTGTGTGTGGAGGAACTGCACTATGAAACCATTAATAGCCATTTGCAGGCACTTCAGACAATATTGAACTAGATTGACCAATCGTCTGACTTGGTATATGGTTATATATGGTCAAGGAGTACCAAGACCTTGAACTTGGTCTGGTGGAAGATTGGCAGTCACTGCAGATCCCACAGACAAGGTTTTATATGCTAGTGGCGGTTGCCTCCACAAGCAGCCTGACCACCCCATTTTTCAGCCTCCAGGCAAACCTCAAGTGCAACCTCACATGGAGAGCATTACAGTAATCCAACCTTGAGATTACCAATACATGGGCAACTGTGGTTAAGTTATCCTCATCCAGGAATGGCCATAGTAGTCTTCTGGTAAAAGGTAGTCCAAGCCACTGAGGACGCCTGTTCTTTCATTGGCAGAGCTGGATCCAGATGAAGCAGCTGCTCCTTTAATGAGAGTGCAGCCCCAAGGCGATCTAGATCAGAGCTGTCGCAGGGGCAAAAAGCTGAATCTGCTCTTGCCAGGGTTCAGATCCAGATTGTGACATGCATACACTTAGCTGCTATTTACTAAAAAAACCAAAGAAACACACCTAAGTTGGCCCACATTGTCTTGAATCCCGCTTTATTCTTTGCTGCTACATGTCTCCCTGAGGGTGTTTATCCCAGAGTTTTACACCTCTAAAAATGAATCAAGCAATCTGAATTTAGGGTTGTCTCCAAATATATCATACTCCGAATGAATCCATTTAAATATTAATGGACATGTCTGTTGATTTTAATAGCTCTACTCCCAAGTATGACTTAGCTGAATAACTGTATTAGGAAAACCAAAGTTTGGTAGTTTTATGTATGTGTCCCATTGCCTGAAAATGAGGTACATTCAGATTCTTGTTTCTTTCTTTTTTTTAACCTAGGTGTCACTAGCACAAATATTATTATAGGTGCTATCGCTGGTACAATTTTAGTGTTGGCTCTGATTATGGGCATAACTGCATGGGGTTACAAGTAAGTAATTTATATATATATATATCTTATATTAATAAAGGTAAAAAAGGTTATTTCATAAGATTTTCTATACTTTATTATGATTTGATAAAGTAAAAGTATGAATTGGCAGTGTGAATTATCAAATGATTTAGGCAAAAGAGAATTTCAGAAGTTTCCCTAATCAGAACTGCTTCCAGTTCTCCTCTCTGCAAATAGTTGCTGTACTCAGAAGATTTGTTGTCCAACATCTGCGGACTGAAGTCTGCATAAGACTGGAGGACAGCCTTTGAGTAAAGCTAGTCTAGCCATCCTGCCTGGTGATTATGGGAATTGTAGTCCAGTAACATCCAGAGACCCAGCCAGCAAAGCTGATGTACTCTTTAAGTCAAACTTGCCATAATAATTATATTATTTACTGGCAACAGCCTGGCTTACTAATTTTTACTATAACTTCTCACATTCTATTTTCAATTATTTACTGCACACCTTTGTTTCAGCATGTCTAAACAAAATGTATGAGAGGAAAAATAAAATTTATTGAACTCATGCACTGATCCTAAGTATAGGCCACATTCACAAATGTTGATAAGTCTGGGTTGCTAGGCTCCCAAGGTTTTGGGAATAAGCCACATGCTTTGTACACACTGTTCAATGCCCCCCTCTTGCTCCTACCCTGGCATGAGGAGGGGAAACAACCCCAGAAGCTTGAAAGGGGTTTGACTTCCTGTGACGTCCAAGCCTGAGATTGTGCATTGTTTCTACCTAACAACAACTTTTGGTCTCAGCAAGCAGGGTTCTTCTTAACAGTCACTTAAATGATACTAACTCTACTTATGAAGTTAGGCACCTCTTGAAAGGTACCAGAGGGGATTGCGCTCTCCTTCCTTGAATGAGAAGAGAATGAAAATAGATCTGGATACCTCATGGTTAGTGAGGAAGGAGTTTCACAACAAGCCAGAGTTTCGGCAGCATGAGTCAAATTGTGGCTTAGCTCAGCTAAGGACTGGGGAGGAGCAAAATGGCGGCAAGCTCCTTTCTGGAAGCCCACATCTTTGTGGGCCTAATAAGCCATAGTTTGTCTTACTGTGCCATGTGAACCAGGTCAGTGTGTGAGTTCATATTGCCCAGGGTCTGCAGGGTTTGAAGTAAGAAACATCATTTTCTTCCAAAGGGCTTTCCTAAACTCAGCCTATGCATTTCAGACATAAAGCTGATGCTTCATTGCATGCAATTTTCATAGTGTCATGCTCTTTTTCATAGCAATGACTCAATTGCTTGGGAAAGACAATAATACTCAACTTCTGCTAGGGTTTCTTTTCTATTTTATATCTTTGGGACTGGATCCTAAGGGCTGCACAAAGGTGGGTCCTACCCCCCCTTCAACTGCACCACCCACACCAGGTCCTGTGCTGTTCCTGAAAGTTTCACAGCTTTCTGAAGTGGCTTTCAGGGGCATCAAAGAGATGCCAAGAGGGTGTGGGTCTTTCCCATTCTGCATGTGGAAATCCACTGGGAGTTCTTAGGATCCAGTTCTTAGCTTATGACACTGAGTAGAGTAATGGCAAGTACAACATGGTAACTCACTCTCTTATCTCTCTTCCTTCCTCTTGTAAGAAACTATCGAAGACAGAGGTATGTGAAAAAGCAGTGTGGCCACATGTCACGGAATGCTTCAGATGTGATCCCTATTTATTATTTAGTTGGGATATATTAGAGACATCAGTATGGCTAGGAATGTAGCATTTTTTGTGTACATGGAGCTGTGGGCTGATGAATCTAATTTAAATGGCTCCTATCTTTGTGGTGTTAATGTGTTGTCCCTTAAGACTTGGATTCCTGTATTCTGAGATATGTTCTTTTAGGAGGGTGGAGCCCTAAGGCAGAGACCAGAACCCTGTGGCCCCTCCAGATACTTTTGGATTACAACTCCCATCATCACTGACCATTGGCCATGTTAACTGGGGCTGATGGGAGTTAGAGTCTAACAACACCTGGAGGGCCATGGGTTCCCCATACCTGCCCTATGTGGGCTGTTTTTTTTTAATTACACCTTTATTTTCTTTGCAGCCACAGTGTTGAAATTTAACCTCAGACCCAGTTCAATTCTGCTTAGTACATAACATTGATTACTGGAGCATTTTCCAGTTGCCTGGGCACTAATCCCTTCCATTATGAACTTGTCTGCATGTTTGCCTTTGAGATTAATATAGCCATGTATGATCCCGCTCCTGACTGGTCCTGAGCACTCAGTTTTTTAAGCCACAATATTTTTTTCCCAAATTTAAAAAAAAAAACTTGAAAGGAGGTCTAAGGGACCTCATGGATGGTGTTAGACTACAGCTTCCATCATCATTGGCTGTGCTGGCTGAGGGTTGATGGGACTTGATGTCCAGCAACATCTGGAGGACCCCTGACTCCTCACCCCGCTCTAGAATAAGGCCCAGCAGCATTGACCTTGGTTTGATTTGGCCTCATGAAGATGCCGTGTGCTGGCATCTGAAGCTGAGGGCAATGCTTCCCCATAAAATGGCTCCAGGTAGCAGCTGAGCATGTGATCATTAGGACTAGAAAACAAATGGTGTCAAAAAGGTAAGCGGTTAGGTGGCAACTTGGCTTTATGAAAAATATCTTCTCTACCCTTTCCACTTTCATGCTCACAAAATTCTAAAAAACACTGTTGGGTTAGCTCTAAGTTTGACATTAAAAGTCTTGTACTTCAAGGATAGCACAACTAGAAAAGCAAGTACTCTTGCCTCTGTTTGTCACACACAATAATTAATTAATCTTTCTTAGATCCTGTAAGTGTTCTTTGATCACAGTTCAAAGTACAGGAGTCCAGTGTCATAGATATGGAATCTTTTTTTCTTTGTATAAAAGTAATTTTTTTGTAAGGGGAAGTACAAAAATTGTACTGGTGTATGTAGGTATATATCTATAATCTATTGCATTAGTTTGAATCTTGTGTCGAAGAGTGGGATTTGGTATTTCTTGAATATCCTGTTTAACGAAAGAAACTCCTTAGTTGAATTTGGAATGGGGAACTAAGTTTGTTATGACTGCTAGGCAGCAGTAGGAAATCCCCTTCACTGTGCACATGTCATATTTGGACAATATTGGGTATTGTTGTTGTTTTTAATTGCCTATTAATTATCAAGGCCTTCTTTACCGATTGCTCCCACCTGTCACAAGATGGAGAAAAGGAACGATTGGGGATGTAGAGGGTGGCAATATCTAACCCCACTCTTGAGTGTCTCTTAAATCAAATTGTTCAAACTTGTTGCCTTTAGGCCTATTAAGCAAAACACACTCTGTAATGGGTGTATATTTTAATTAGACTTTTAAGTATCTCAGGGAATGCATTTCCCCATTACAGAATGTAAGCCTATTTTCTCAGGTAGCCATTCTCTCTTATTTATATAGTTATGTGATAAATTTTCATGGTCTCCTTTCTAACCTTTTTCCTGTTCTCTCTATATATGTATATGTATATGAGTGTGTATTTATTTACACACATATATATATACATACATACATACATTTGGAATATGCATGTGTTTTTTTGTTTTTTAACCTTCAGTGTGTTTCTGACTTGAAAATGTTCATTATGCTTTAGACAAATCCCTCAGGGAGATTATGTAAAAAAGCCTGGTGAGGCCGACTCCTTTTATAGCGACATGCCGCCTGGAGTCAGCACAAACTCTGCATCTAGTTCTAAGAAGAGGTCTGCTTTTCTGTCGCATTTTCAGATTTCTACCTGTTCCATCACACATTATTCCATTAGTCAGAACCTTTCATTGTTTTGCAGCAGGTTTGATTACTTCTTTCCTTCCTTTTGTGGACTCTGTGTGTGTGTGTTTAAAGTGACCCCCTTCAGTCTTTGATTACTGAATAGTTGTATCCTCTCTTTTCAAATGCACATCTTTGGGGATCCAAAACTCCGATAAATTATATTGGTGGAGTGGGTGGGCGGGTGGGCTTTGTAGCCCCACAGATAAATCAGATCCTCAGTTCTGATAGCCATCTCCTTCTGCTTGGAAGTGCCTTGTTTTGCCGCTTATAAAGTGTCCTAGCTCCTAATCAAGCAAAACACTGTACCCAAATTGCCATGAATTTGATATTACGATGAAGTAATCAAAGAAGGGGGATGCTGTACTTTCATTAACTGTTATAACATTAATGAATTGTGGTAATAGAAATGTTAGAAGTGTTGCATTTTATCACTAGTTTGCCCTGCCTTTTTGTTCTTTAGTATTCTGCCAAATCTGGCATTTCCATCTTGCATTTCTCTCTTTTTACTGACCAAGGAAGGCCTGATTTACACACACAGCCACCCTTGTGGGTGAACTAGCTTGTGATGCAGATCCTTGTAGGCGTGGCACAAAGTTTTATGAGTGGCTTCCCATGCATTTTGGCCAAGCTTGCAGCAGCAGGGTTGGAGTGTGTGAGAAGCTGCTACTCCGCCATGTGGGTTGTGCCCTTCACTATTACAACCAATTATCCGTGGAGGCAGGATTGTTGCGGTCAGACCATAGAATCACTGCCGACACCTTGATTCTGCCAGATTTAATCCCCAATCCAATGTCTCTGGAGTGTGACGTATCCAGGGTGAGCAACTATATCTTGCCCTCTTCTGTGAAAGGAAATGCAGTGGACATGTACATGGAGCTCTGTTATGGATCTGGAGATTTGTGCATGACATGAGGCAATGGGCTGTGCATTGCTCTGTCTGCTGTAAAAAGGCATATGCACCATTTTAAAACGACACACACATCCTGGTGCATTTAATAGTTCACGAAGTTAACAAGGTCACTTTGATCTGTAAACCTCCCCCCCCCATCTTTTAGCATGGAGAGATTTATTATAGAATTGCTTTTTCCCCTCAAGCATCTTAGAAGGCTTTCACAAAAATATAATAATTCTGCCATGTAATAATACTAATAATGGACAGGCTATTTTGTGAACCATCATTTCCCCCCTTTTTTCTTTTTAAAGATCATTCACGCTTCTGGTGGTTTTCAAATGAGAAACTGAAAAGAAACAGAGGAAATTTGCTCCTCAAAGTTGTGAATGTAGTAGCTTAGTGGTGCATACGTAATGCCGACGCAAATGTCTGTTTAATACTGAGGGTTTTTATACCTTTGTGAGATTCTCTTTAATTTTTGCATGGCAGATGTCAACTTGAAAAGTAACTCCTAAGTCAACATCCAGTTTCTTGACTGAGGGTTTATGTTTGTGGAAGGATTAAAATGTTGATTTTCCTGAGAATAATCTTCAAAGCTGCATATCCATCTACAGTTGAACTTCTTGAATGCCTAAATATAACAGAATTTTTGGAAAACCAGTTTCCTGATATTTTGTCCTATTTAGGTTTTGTTTCCATATAAGGGAGCAAAATTTTGTTCATTCTATGAAGCTTGACTTTTAAAATGGGCATTGCTTAAATTCCATTGTATAATGTTGTGTGTCATTCCCCCCCATTTCCATTGATTCATCATTTCAACCACTTGTTTATTCTTTACTGTGTAATGGTATGAAACTCTTAAGGTCTGTCTACATTAGGACAAAGAGTATCTCTTGTCAGTTACCTGTAAACCTACCTAAGTTTAAAACTGGCATGGCCTATATTATGGGTGCTTTGTATCAGGCAGGAAATTTACCTTCACAAAAGTTTCAGACTTCAATAGTTGGACTAATGAGCAGGAGGGAAAGTTCTGTTGCATGCAGTCCTTCATATCTTACATATTTTATCTTACAGGGAAAAAAGATTAGAAAAAGCAAGAGAAATATGGGGCTGGATTCAGTCAAAATCAATGGGACAAGTTAGTCATTGCTTAAATTAACACCACTTGATTTCAAAGTCAGGTTCAGCTGACTTTGGTTGGATCCAGCCCATGCCATTTTTTCTTATTTATGCAAGAGAAAGGTTCTAAGGTATAAAGGATGCTTATCTACGATCTATATAAATTTTGTTAAAAAAATTAAAGCAGTTTAGCCAAGTCTATCCAGGCACATAGATGTTGACGTGTTTTAATCTCTTTCACTGTCAGTTTTAATTATTTTTTGAACTTACATTTTTTTATTGATGATTTTAATATATCTTATATACTGCTCAGTGGTTCAATTGGAATATCATTTTTGTCAAATTAAATAATACATTAAAACAAAATCAAGTGGCAGGACAGATGGAATTGGGATGATGTGTTGTTTTTTTGTGTGGATGTGCAGAACCTAGGATTTAACCAGGTTTGCATAAGCCATCTCAGAGAATGAGCTTCATAAGCAGAACAAAAAAAAAAACAACAAAAAAAATTCCTTCCAGTAGCACCTTAAAGACCAACTAAGTTAGTTCTTGGTATGAGCTTTCGTGTGCATGCACACTTCTTCAGATACACACTTCTTCTGTGTATCTGAAGAAGTGTGCATGCACACGAAAGCTCATACCAAGAACTAACTTAGTTGGTCTTTAAGGTGCTACTGGAAGGAATTTTTTTTTGTTTGTTTTGACTATGGCAGACCAACACGGCTACCTATCTGTAACTGGAACTTCATAAGCAGGTTTGAGTTCCAGAACTTACATGAGAAAGTAAGTCTCTTCCAGCTTAGTTTTCCTCTGGGGAAACAAGATGGACAGAGAGAACGCAACCTAGGAAAGGAAGAAATCATTTTCTCCCTTGCAAGATCCTCCTGCTGCTCCAAGCTCGACCCTCTAAGGCAGCCTTCCTTAATTTGGTGACCTCCAGAGCTTTCAGACATCAACTCCCATCATCCTTCATCAACAACCATGCTGGCTGGGACTGATGGGAGTTGTAGTCCAAAACATTTAGAGGACACCAGGTTGGAGAAGCCTGGTCTGAAGAAACCAAGTGGGAAAGGAGAAGGACTAGGTTGCACTTCTGCCGGGTGTAGAAGAAACTTGCTTTCTTCTTTTGTTTCTAGATGACCTGTGTACACATCTCCTCTGAGCCAGTTGCAAAGGCACCAGTGATGACCCAGCATCCAAATATTTGCACCTCTGAGTGCAATAATGCAGCCTCTCACCTGCCATTGTGTTCATGAGCCTGCCAAATTATTTGACAGTCATCCTTGTCTGGCAAATAAATGAGATATCCCACATAGACTAACATAACTAGAAAGGTCTAGAATCTGAAAATGAGACATGTTAAATAGATGCCCTTAGAAATTCAATTAGAAATGGGTTTATGAATGTGTCCTGAGTAGCAATGTAGCAATGTGCACACTGTTTTAGGGAAGGAATAGATTTAGGAACAGTTGTAGGAGCAGAAGTGAAACTTAACTGGACTTTTCACGGACTGCTGATTTAGGCAGACATTTTGGGTATTGTAAACAGACCTTTAAGTAATCCTCAACTTAAAAGTTCATGAACAATGTCCTTAATAGATGCTTTATGTACCCAAACTAGCCAGCTCATGCAAGTCTTGCCATTTACTCCAGGTCAAACGGATTATCTCATTCATGGAGTGAAAGAATCCAAGATGCAAAGAACCTTTCGGACATCTGTCAGAATGGGCGACCCAGGAGTAACTCATGGCAAGGTGAGAATGACCATCGCGTCAGCAGTATTCATAACCATTGCAGAGTAGATGCTGTCAACCAGCATGCTGCAGCCATGCCTACAATGCCAGAGTTAGAGTACATGCTTTGCACATATAAAGTCTTACGTTCAGTACCTTGTATCTGCAGGTAGGTCGTATTACTACTTCAGGGTGGAGGAGAAAGAAAGGGAGAATAAAAGTCAATGCAAATGACTTGTAGCATGCTACTTTCCTTGGTTCCATCGTATTGTTTTCCACTGACTTATCCTTTGGTCTTATTTCAGGTAATATAGGCGGCAACAGGAAGAAAGTCAAAGGCAAAAGATTTAGGCCACGGTCTAATTCCACTGAGTAAGTTTGACCTTCTAGTTGAAAACCAAAACCGAAGAATATCCAATTATTTCTGTTTCAGTTCCTTCCTGCTACATATCTGAACCAGAAGGCTTCTAGACTCACTGAAAGCACTGATTATTAAATGGTGTGGCAACAGGTTTTTATTTTGACCATGTGTTTTTAAAAGTTGCTTTTGTTTTTGAAAATTCGCCCATTCCCCCCTCACCTAGGCAATACTTACCAGTGGTAACAAGCTCCTCCATAAGTTTCTTTTTAAAGTCTGTTATTTGGATTCAGGGCAGATTTTGGGCTGATTGTCAGCAAGAAACCGGGGGGGGGGGGCTCCCCTTGCGCTATTTCCCCAATGGAAATCCTCACTCCTCCCATCTGCTATTTGCATATCTGTCAATCTCCCCTCCGGAGATGCCACAATGTTACCCTTGGGGAGGAGAGGAAAGGAACCAGGGCGAAGGGTTTTTATGTTGTTGGCAAAGCTGTGCAGGGTTGAAGGGTTAATCACCCACTTGCCTGCACTGCGGTCCCCGTCCAGATTTTCTCCCCCCTCCCATGTCTGCTACTGTATTTTAAAGGGGAGCAAACACAAGAGACAATGATCTGTTCAACATCACATCTAGTTTGGCCCTAAGAAGTACTTCTAGCGTGTTAAATGTATTCTCCTTAGCAGGATGGGCAGTGAAGCAGGCTTTCCCATCGCAGTTTTGTCCCTCCCTGTTGACTAAAAGCCCCACACCTTCTCACCTTTGTGTGCTGCACTATTCCCCACACCTGTTTACTGCTGCCTGTTAACCTGCATGGGAAGAAAGTCCCTGATTTGACATTCAGGTGTGTTTCACTCCCAATGAAAGTGGATATTTAATGCCATCCTGCAACTGGGGGAAGTGGGAGAAGAGATTTAGACGGCAGCGCTAATGCAGAGTTCAGATGTAATGTTTCAAAATGTACCATTCTGCATGTTAACTTTCACATTTAGGGCAAATGTTATTCAGGGAGACCTGTTAAGGACACATTGGAAATCATCTAATACATGCCAGAGTAAACTTCTCTACCTAATCAGCAGGAGCAGACAACATGTTACCCTACATATGGTGTTGGACTACAACTCCCATCAGCCCAAGAGTACATGGCCAGTGGTCATGGGTGATGGGGATTGTAGTCTAGCAACCTCTGGAGGGTTGGCTACCCTGGTGTATCATTCTGCAAGATAAATAAATATACAACATAGCTTACCTAGATTTCTGTTATCTGTGTTTTTTCCTAATTCTGGATATGGTTTGTATCCCATTAGATGCACATTTTAGTAAATTAGTTTGAATAACATTGGATAACCATTTTAGTTTCACAAGATGCCAGGAGTTCAGGAAGCCTTTCTCTGTAAAAGGAAGATGCTTTCCTATGTGTTAATTTGCTTGGAAGTTTCGTATTACTTTCAGCTATATACTTTCGTTAGAGAACTACGTATTGCTAAATAAGACTTACTTAAAACAGTTTGCTTTGTTTGTGCAATGCCATCTACTGATACATGCTGTACGGAATGAACAAGCCGCGTGTGGCAACGTATATTTTATGTGTTCATGTGCTTACCACAACCTGTGAAGTAGCGTAATCTGAATGCAAATGACATCCAAAATGAGAAGTTGTCAATATCTGGAAAACTAGCGTCTCTGTGCTGCTGTCCATTGCAGCATTCCTGGTGAAAGGTTAACTACATGGATATAAGATGACCACTCCCAAGGCTACAGAGTCATTAAAGCAAACTGGTCTTGGTGGTAATGGGGGACAAAAATACCCCTGATCCTGATCCCTTTAGAGGAGTTGATTAATGACTGCTGGAAATGCATAGTTTTATTGCCATATTGGTCCCTAAGATCAGTGTTACACAAAGCAGACCAAGCGGTTATTTTCCTTGCATTGTATTGTGTTAGTGGAGCAAAAGAGAACTTCAGTAGTTGACAATTTCTGTGGGGCTATTTTCCTACTGGCCCAGTATTTTACTTCCATAGTTTTGCAAAGATGAGACATTAAGGTTCCAGAGTTTTCTGCAAACTTAAATGGATAGTTTTGACCATTAAAACCAAGACCCCGAGTGTGGGCATAGGAGCATGTGTTAAAGCATGTCCCAGTGAACTCCTTTCCCGGGTAGCCATTCCTTTGTTCATTTGTACTAACTTTACCTCTATAGGTGTGCATCTTCCTCATTGTTATAAATGATATAAACTTTGGCTTAGATTTTCCCCACCCCTATTATATATTGTGTTTTTGCAGCAGAGCATCCCATGCTTCTGAGCCTGGGCTTTCCCACACCAACCAAATCCCACCCCAAGGCATAAGCCACAGGGGTTCTCACCACCCCCAGACAAGGGATCGGGATCACAGGTCAGTCCTAAGTGCCCTTCCATTTGGGGCAACTTTTTTTAAAATTTTTATCCCATTAAAAGTTCCTTCCCAAAAGTATCACTGTGGCAAAATACCCCCAAACCCGCCTTTGATTGCTGATGGCAGCGCTAGCTAAGCCCTCCTCCTTGCTGGCCTGATGTGTGTAATTCCCCCCCCCACCCCAGTCTTATAAGACCTGGGACTTCTGCATTGTTGCATGTTGTGCTGCAAGCCAAATCAAGCCACTGGTTTTAAGTTTTGTAGACTTGTTTCTTTTTCGTTTTAAGCAAAGTTTTACCATTTGATCTGATGGGTTATACTATATCAATGATGACCGATGCACAGTTAACCCCCACAGAGATTGCTCTGCCCCTCTTGGTTTCATTCTGCAACCTGGCATGATGTTAAAAGCTACCGTTTCAGGATGCTCAGAAATAATAGAAGCTGAAGTGTGTGTACTTGGTGCAAAGAAGCCTCAAAAGTCTTGTACAACCTTTGCATGCTTTGTTGCCGTGATAACTTTCTCTTTTCTCATTGTAAAATCCAGATCAGGAGTGCTTCATGGTTACCAAACGAGCCTTTACAATAAAAAGTGTAGGTTAAAGGTTTGTCGTTTGCTCTCACACAAGCCCACTAAAACTGCAAGATAAGAACCAGCGCATAATGTCTTGCCCACGCGCCCATTGCTTCGCTAGCAAATTTGTCTTGCGGCTGTGCTTCGAACTTTTACTTTTTAATTAGGAACCGAGATGGAAAACATAAAGCACTCCTAGTTTTCAACTTGCTGTTGAAAGTAAGTAGACTAATTAGAAGCAATTACAGCTGATAGAGAATTAAAGCGATGCCTGTGCTTATGTGGCTGGGGTGAGTGGGTGGGAGAGTTACGCAGCTTAGACAGAATGATGCAAACAATGTTTGATTATTGGATATAATAAATTCACCATCTGATTTTTATTTCTATTGAAAGCCCACGTTCAACACAAGCTAAAAATGGTTCACCCAAAACATTGCCACCTAGTGGCTTAGTGAAATGAGAAGATTGGTGTAGATTGTGAGATACACATTGATAAACAGGGACTAATGGGTTGGGGAAGGTGGCAAAGAGGAAGTTGGCGTTGTTGTTTTTTCCTGTCCTTCTCTCTGGAAGCCCTATTGAGATACCACTGAGGGTAGCAGTGCATTTTTCTCCACGATTGTGAAGACCTGAAAAATTGTTTTTCTATAAAATAAATCCTGACATTCTCCAGAGTCAGATCACATGATGTCATTTAATATGCTATAACTTGCAGCAGTAACAAGGTCATGGAGTCTCTGGCTTAGTGTCAGCTGTAGGTGGATTTAAAAGTAATTTATGAACCATATTTATTGCATATAATTAATGCCCCATCTTTCCTTCAAGGAGCCCAAAGTGGCACACATATTTCTCCCGCCTCCACCACCCATTTCATCCTAAAAACAACCCTGCGGGATAGGTTAGGCTGACAGTGCCTGGCCCAAGGTAGTGAGCTTCCTGGGTGAGGGGGAATTTGAGCCTAGCTCCCTCCTGTTCTAGTCCCAATGATCTAACCACTACACCACATTGGCGTTACCAGTTTGTCCCTGCACTTCATTGACTTTTTAAACAGGCAGCAGTATTAATGTAGCAGTAGTAAATGTTATCAAACAAGTACTCATGTAATCTGTGCTGCAAAGAGAGGACAAAGTAGAATATACTTTCCATTGATAAAACAATGGTTGTTAGGTTCAGTCTGGATTTATTTATTTTTTTAATACTGTGAGAAATGTCTTGCACATAGCGTTGACCAGGAATGGGCTTTGGGAAGCAGATGGAAGGATCCATGCATATTGGTCAAAGGCTATATTCAAGTTGCAAGGGCAATTGCCCAGCTTATAAGAGTCACAAGTGTAGGGCAGCCCAGTCTTTGTGCTGGAAACAAAGGCTACTCAGAAGTAAACCCCATGAGTTAACTGGGAATTATTCCCATGCAAGTGTGCAGAGGACTGTAGGCCGAACAGTTCTGTCCAGTAGATTGCTACCACATGGCAGCTGTTTTGTGTGTGCAGCAGCTCACTGCACAGAATAATCTGTTTTTTCACCCACCTTCTTCCACGTATTGCCAGCAACATGAAAAAAGTGCAGTGTGTGGTGAGCCTCTGGGTACACAGCTTGTGCTGCAATGCAAAAACAGCTTCTTGTGTTTTAGGCAGACTTACGCGCACCAAAGAACCCACATGTGACTGCAAGTCAGTAACATTTCCTGTCATTTAACTGGCAGGACCTGGTTTATTTGCAACCGTGGACGTGAAAGAGTCCCCAAGACCATAATGTTCGGCCTCTGGTGTAAAAGAGGAACTCATTTCTTAGCTGCCTTTTCTCAGATCAACCTGCAAGTATCCAAGGTGGTCTGCCTATATTTATGTACTCCTGACTTGTGGTGCAAGGCAGAGAACATTTGCTCGCTGTATAAGTTAGGTTAAAGACACAGCACTGAGACAAAACGACTTGCCTGAAGCTTTCAGGAGGTGCTTATAAGAGATTAAAGTAGTCCTCACGTTGGAAGGGCAGTTGCTGCAGCACCTGTCTCTTGCGTACTTCCCCACTGGGCAGATTCAGTGCTTCTAAGTCTGTTTGCATCCAGACCGAGATTTAGAGATTTAAGAGATGGGTAGTTCTCTCTCTCAAGGCAAAAGTAAATTGCAAATGTAAGCCTCCGCTTCCAAGGGAATTCATTTTGAACCCCCGTGGCTCGGATTTTCTTCACCCAACTTCCACACTGATTTATTTAAGACCATCCTTGGCATTTGGAGGATGTAAAACAGCCAAACTGAGCTTATGCTGCTGTGTGTTACCAGATATTTCTTTATTCTTCTTCTGCTTTCTCTGTTCCTTCCATTGCTTTTTGCAGGTATTTAAGCCCATGGTTCAAAACAGAATATAATGTAGCTAAGTGGGTAGAAGATGTGAATAAAAACACTGAAGGACCCTACTTTAGGTATTTTGTAAATTAATTCTCTATCATCTTTTAAGAGCTGTTCCAGCATATTCCAGATATGATGGGACTCCTTATCTTGTATCTTCCAATACAAGTGATTTATTGTAGATGCTGAGGACCCTTTTTGTTCATTTGCTGCCTTCTGATGTCTTTTTTGGGCTTCATTGTGCAATTGCGATTCTTTTCTGACTGTTTTAATGAAGCCGTTTGAAAAGGATGTTCATAGTGCATGTATTTCCCATCATCATCTCTAGCTTTTAGTAGCTTTCTCTTCGTTTGATGCCAAGTAGCCTTTTTGTGGGCATGATCTATGTCTACCACTAATCAAGTAACATTAGTTGAAATAGCTAAAAGGTCAGTGTATTGAAGCTAGTAGCTTTATAATACACTTAAGATGCAATCCTATACCCACTTACCGGGAATAAGTCCCATTGAAAGCAGTGGGGTTTACTTCTTAATAGACATGAGTAGGGTTGTGCTGTTAGTGCCAACCCAGTGCTTTTACAATAAAGGTGTGAAATTGCAGCAAGTAGTAGAATTGTACATAGGTTATCGTTTGTGCATCATAATTAAAAAAACGGGAAGCATGCAAGCATGTTAGCAGAGCATTTACCTAGCATATCCATTAGAAGTCAGAAATATGCTGGAATGAATTAATTGCTCTTCATGGCAAGAGGCTAAAGATGTGTTGTGTGAATATTCAGTTGGGTTGGGCTTTCTTTGTTTCGGCCATTGGCTATAATGCCAACTAACAGATCAAAATGAGAAGAAGAAAAATTAACTACAAGCATACAATAAAAACCAATTGGTAAAACCAAACAGCAAACATACAAAAACCTGTAAATCTTAATAAGAAGGAATCAATAATAACAAGAAAATAACACAAGAATGTAATCATGTTAAATACTTTTAAGTGTGCATATATCTCATTAACAGTGCAATGTCTACTAAGAGAAAGGCTCTACTGAGTTTAGTGGGTCTTACTCCCAGATAAGTGTTATTGCAGCCTAAAATAAGCATTTCACTAGTTCAATCCTTTGTCAAGCAGCACTCAAAACAGGTGTCCAAACTGGAGTTTGGCTATATAGTAATCAGAAAATGTTTGCCGCTGCTTCGCATCTGCCAGAGCAAAGGTGGCCACTGTTAAATTAATCTCATTTTTGCTGGCCAATAAATATTTTATTTTCTTCTGCTTTAACCAGTGTTTGCCATATTTTTAACAATTGAAGAAGAAAGTTATTCTGCATTTGCCCTCAAAATTAAGAAAGAAGAGTAGGTAGTATGGAATGTCCAGTTGTTTTCTCCCTACGGATGCAGAAATGTCAGTCAAAAGGCACTTTCCCATATAGCAGAAGTTTTCAACCTTTTTCAGTCCACGGCTCCCTTTGGGGCTCAAGAGTCCAGTTACGTCATCCCTTGCCTGCATAGCTGGCAGTCTCTCACCCTTTTTTGAACACCTTCCCTTGTGGACTGTTCCCTCAGCCTCCTCTCATTGAGAGTCCTCTGGGCAGCCGCTGCTGCCATCCCTGGTCTCTGAACTCCCCCCCCCGCTGCCCCATAGAGAAGTGTCTCCTCACACTGCCCAACAAAGGCCTGGGAAGAGGATGCCCCCAGCCTTAGTGGCCCAATGGAGACTGGCCAAAGACAAATGTCCAGCACCTTACCTTGGGAGGCAGGAGCTGCCTGTGTGCCTGGTCTCCCACTTGTCTGTCCATTCCCAACAGCAAGGGCTGGTGGACTAGCTGGGTGGGTTGCCTTGCCAGCCTGCCTGCCTGCCTGCCTGCTTGCTTGCTTACTCCAAGGCTGCCTCAGCTCTTGGCAACCAGCACCCCATGGCCAGCCCCAGAGGTACCATTTGCCCGGGGAGCTTGTAGCCAGAGCTGCTGCAACAAACAGCCACACAAGCCTTGGGGAAGTAGAGACATGGGAGAGCATCAGAGGAGGGAGGGAAGGAAAGGGACAGAGGCTAGCATAGCTCGCGGCACCCTGGCCATCATTCAAGGCACCCCAGGGTGCCACGGCACCCTGATTGAATACCACTGCCGTACATGGTACATCTAAAAGAGTGGGCAGGGCATTGGTTGCCATCTCAGCAAAGGAGGGCTGGAACTGTCCTTAAAACAAATGTAGGGAAGTCAAATAACTAATTTTTCAAACTGTGCTGGGATTTTATCAATGCATAACGTAGCACATTCTTAACATTTGTCAATAAGAACACAGCTCTCCGCACAAAAAATGCCTCTGAGGTGCCATTTAAATACCATTTTGGCAGCTATGAACCATAATCCATTAAGAAAATTCAAAGGCAAACCATGTAATTGGATCAAGATGGCACTGAAAGGGGAGTAAGTCGTTGGTTTTTTAAAAGAATTAAGTGAATTTGCCCACACCTCTAGGAGCCTGTCTTCTAGGAGATGAAGTCATTTATGCCAATAATTAAATAAACACAAGGAGACTGGAATCATTCCTGTTTGTTCTGTCTCATCAGAACCAGAAGACTGCAAGGACTCCTAAAATGATTATTTTTTAAATTTTAAATTCTAGTGCTTTCTCTCCAGACAAACACCATATCTCAGTTCCATATAATCATAACTATTATTTCCACTCTGTTTTAAAAGTGTTTAATACTGTACAATGAGCCTGCTCCCTTTGTTAGAATGTATTATGCAAGGAATAATCTTGCTTGATCCTCCTTTTATATTTTTCCAACTGCCAATGCTGGAGATGACCAATTTATGATACTATTCTCAGTGGCCAGTTACATTGTTATTATAAGCCCAGTTCAGTTGTTACATGAGTGAATGGGACCCATGGACAGAGCAGTAGAAAGAGGGCTTCCTGTGGAGCAGATGGCCTGAGCACATGGGAAGCAGCCATGTGACAATGGGGACAAATACTAAAGGCAAGGGCTTCTTCTTTGTATTCGCGTTGCTCCTCCACACGAGTAACAACTTAATAGGGCTTAGTCATATTCCAAAGATTTGAATGGCAAAAGTGACCCAGTGAAGTTTACAGGTGAGATGATAGAAGGATAGGAGACCCATGTCATTGTCACAAAGTGATGTTTAGAGAAGTTCATGGCCAGTGCTAGGTGAAAAAAACCCATCCTCATTAAATTCAGAAGTGGCATCATTTATAAAGAAACTAAACAAAAATAGGGGAGAGAACATCTGTGTTGCTTCATCGCCTCAAGTCACTTGTTACCTTTTGGTCAAAGGCCTTAATGGGGTAATTCTTGTTTCTGAGGTTAGTATTTGGGTATAGAAGATAGTATTCAATGCAGTATTTTACTGGGAGGAAGGATTCAGTGGGGGGAATCTGATATAGGCAGCTTGTTTATTTCTGAATCAGCGTGCATAGGATTGCGCTGAGTCTGTCTGCTTATCCTCTACTACATACTATCTTTTATTGAGCTGCACTTCCTAGTGAGCTTCCCTTTCAAACTGCCCCAAACAGTTGGTGCTTGGCGTGATTGTCTGTATCAACCTCATTAATCCCCTCCTAAGACTGAGCACCTCCCCTGAAACATGCTAAAAACCCTAATCTAATTGCTTTGGAAGCCATGGCTGCTTGTAAAACTTGAGAGGAATCAGCAGGAATCAACTGGATTGGTGTTGAAGATAAGCTTATTTATAGACCAAGATGCATATAAGATAACCCCACGTTAAAATATTCAACCACTTCCCAATTATACTACTTCCCAAATTGTTCATCATCACACATTATGATGACCATAGGTATGAGCTGTCACTACACACGTGCAAGTGTTTGTGTGAAATAATGCATGCTTGTTCATTGGTACAGCTCAACTGTTCAGTACACAGACTGTGAAAAACTGTGCGTATACAGGTCAACTATATGTGTACACTGATAGTACACTCATTGAATGTAATGTGTGAACACTCCTGATGCGAGGGACAGTACAGATCTGGCTCCTCTTCTTCATGTCATCTCATAGTTTTCTGATACTGGAGCCCTGAATAGATTACATAATGGTAGCACTGGGGAAGGAAGGAATTCCCCCACTTGGTGCTGATTTTGGTAATCCCACTCCCAGTGGCTGGTCCCATCAGGTTAACTCACTTTGACTCACGACACATTTTTGTTTCCTGGCTAGCAAAATGTCCATAAGCACTTTTGCATTTTCAAGTGTTTTCTGAAACTGAAGATGCATTTTTTCCTGTGCTTGAAATAAGGAGCATCGTCCAGAATGCATAGCAGGAAACCTAACAAGTACTGTTGGTTTAGTGATGGGGAAGGTTCTAGTCTAGGGAATATTTGTAGAGAGCTGGGTTTGGGAGAAAATAGGGGTGGTGATGTAATAGAGTCTGTTGTGGAATTTGTTCCATGTTAGAAGCCAGTGGAACATTGGGTTAGCAATAATAATAATAATAATAATAATAATAATAATTTATTATTTATATCCCACCCATCTGGCTGGGTTTCCTCAGCCACTCTGGGCGGCTTCCAACAAAACACTAAAATACAATAACCTATTAAACATTAAAAGCTTCCCTAAACAGGGCTGCCTTTAAATGTCTTCTAAAAGTTTGGTAGTTATTTTTCTCTTTGACATCCGGTGGGAGGGCGTTCCACAGGGCGGGTGCCACTACCGAGAAGGTAGTTACTAGGTAACAAATATCCTGCAAAGGGGGGAAATGGGGTCCTGAGCTACAAAGATGGCTTCCATGTGTAGAATTCTGTCTCTTCCAGGAATCCAGCAAAGTGGTTTGTGATGGTGGCTAGTTTTTCAGCTGCATAGGGTACTTTCGGTTTCATTGGGGGAAGCTGCACATGGGATTTTTAGCCTTGCTTTCTACTGCCATGCATATATTGTGATTTTTTAAAAAAATGTAAACATAAGCAAGTTGCTTTGTGTGTGGCTCTTTGACCAGGGCCATCTTTAGCAGATGCGGCGCTGGGGTGCAAATATCCGCACAGCACCCCCAAATTACCACAGATAGTGTTGGGGTGGCCATAGCTGCACACTGCCAGCCATC